AGAAGTCAGCTTGGTGTCAGACCAGTGGATGTCACAGTCTTCCAGCCAGGAGTGGAAGAATCAAAATTGGGACCTATGTGTTTTGATCCTAGGGTGGCTCAAGGAGGAGAAATAACTCTACTAAGAAATCACAGGACTGATATTTAGCAGATACGGTCAAGGCATGATTACAAAGTAAAAAGATCTGTTTGTCACTGGTGGCTCATTTAGCCCCACGTTGGTCATAATACCCAATGTGCATGGCTCACACGTGTCACTGGAAGGTGATTTGGTAGCTAGGGGGACAGGGAAGGGTCAGCCCAAGTCATTCCTGGGGGTTGTGCTTCTGTAGTTTCCCCATTGCATTTCCTCCTCTACTTTTCAAATCTTCTCCCTTCCTCCTCCTCCATCTCCTTTTTATTTTAACTTCTTATTTTGAACTACCTTGAGGAAACTTGCAAAAATGCTAGTGCTCCTATATACCTTTCATCCAGATTTCCCCAATATCAGCATCTTGTATAACTGAAGCATAGTTAGTAAAGCCAGATTAGTGTTGGTGCTATACTACCAAGTGACCTCTAGGCCATGTTCAGATTTTCCCCTGTAGGTATGATACTAGATGCTGATGGGTTCTTAGATGCTGAGCCTATATAGGATCCCACAGCACATGTAGTTATTTCTCCTTAGTCTCCTCCAAATTCTTTTGAAGATTTTATTTTTAAGTAATCTCTGCACCCAACATGGGACCTGAACTCACAACCCCAACATCAAAAGTTGCATGCTCCATTGACTGAACCAGCAAGGTGCCCCATAGTTTCTTCCAATTTGTAAAAATCCCTCAGTCATTCCTTGACTTAAGCGCTGATCAGTTATTTTGTAGATTGCCCCTCAGTTTGGTTTGTCACATATTTTCCGTGATTGGACTGAGGTGGTAACTTTTTGGCAAGAATACCATAGAAACGGTGTTGTGTCCTCCTCCGTGCATTGTATCAAGGGATCCTAATATTGATATGTTTTATTCCTAGTGCTCATTCTTTTTTTCTTTTTAATTCTTTAACCCACAAAACCCCAGCATATTAAGGTGGGGTCATGGTTACCTGGGGCGGATGCCTGCATTCTTACCATGTTAGCACGCGAGGTCCAGCCAGAGCCGCTCGTGCCGCTGCCTGTTTCTTCCACATTTTATTTTCCTAATATTCTTTGTAGCTTTAATTGCGCATCTGTCTCTTGGACATGGAAATCAGTTCTCTCAAATTGACCTTTGTTAGCGAAAATAGCTAGGCTGTTCTATGACTGGTTTATCATTGTCAACAGAGGTGATTGACTGAAACTTGCACCCTGGCATTGCCTGCCTGGGAGGTTTGGTTATTGGTGATTGAAATCCTCCTGGCGCTGCTCAGCCCAGGTTCTCAGAGATGCTGGAGCCTGAGAGGGACATGATTTCCTGGAGGGTGCAGCACCTGGCTTATGGAATTCCTCCCTCCCCTCATCTCTAGGGGTATCTGATTCAACAAGCCTTTACTTTGGGGTGTATTCCTCTGTGCTTTATTGGAATGTAAATGAGGAGTTTCAAAAGTTGGCTGGGTCAGGGTCAGGTGGCTGGGGGAGGTGGTGCAGCAGGTGGGTCCAGTCTGTGGTGTGGATGGTTAGAGGGAGAGTAATACAGGGTCTTCATCAGGTAGAGGAGGGGCCTGCTCACAGCAGGGCCTGTAGAAAACACCTTTCTTTCCAATTTCCTACTCCATGGGGAAAGTGTTCTAACCACAGCTAAGTGATGGCCATCTGGATGGCTCAGTTGGTTAAGACCCTGACTCTTGATTTCAGCTCAGGTCATGATCTTATAGTTCATGGGTTTGAGCCTCACATTGGGCTCCGCACTGTGCAGAGCCTGCTTGGGATTCTCTCTCCCTCTCTCTGTGCCCTTCCTCTGCTCATGCACTCTCTCTCTCAAAATAGATGAGTGAATTTAACAGGAAATCTCAAATAAGTGGAATTTTTCTGGTCCTGAATTTAAAAAAATGAATTACATGTGAATTCTTCTCAGAAATTTAATTTTTATTTTTTTAGTAAATTTTTTAAATGTTTATTTATTTTTGAGAGAGAGATGGAGTGCAAGCATGGGAGGGACAGAGAGAGAGGGGGAGACACAGAATCTGAAAACAGGCTTCAGGCTGTGAGCTATCAGCAAAGAGCCTCACACGGGGCTCGAACTCAAAATTGAGAGATCACAACCTGAACTGAAATCGGGCACATAACTGACTGAGCCACCCAGGTGCCCCAGAAATTTAATTTTTAAAATTAAAACACCTCTACGTATGTTTCAGGATCAGTTCAGTCTGCATAATGTCTGCAGTTTATAGAATTCAGCGATGACGAGAGAGGTTCATTTGGAACCGCAGGGGTTTGGCTTAGAGTATCAAGGTACATCATGGCCAGTGTAATGTCTCCACTGTGGAAGGAGACAATAAATCAAAAAGGCAGAAAAAAGGACTTTTTCTTCTTCTTTTTTGGATAATATTTAAGGTAACACAAACATGATCCAAGCCCCATATTTCTTTATATTATTTTTTTCAATAGCCTAAAAAACTAAACTCTAAAAGGATGAACAGTGGAAAATCGTTCTCCACTCCTTGTCCCTCACCTTTTTTGCTCAAAGAAAACAGTGACCTTAGTTTCTTACATCTATGCCCAGAGCTGCTTTTTGCATATACAAGCAAATACAAAAATAGAACCTTCTTCTCCCCTTTTTGGGGGCAATCGGTACTCTATTGATTTTTTTAAATGTATTTCTTAAAGATTCTGATCCATCAATATACATCTGTGTATTTCTTTTTTCTTTCTTTTTTTATTGTCTCAGATTTCTAAAGAATTACATATTATAGCCCCGTGTGAATCCCTTCTAGAATCCAGTTGTCCTCCCTCCTTCTCTAGAAGTAACGAATTCATTACCATGAATTCAACATTTATACTTCCCAGCATGTGATGTTGTCTTATAGGCTTTAAAATGTATACAAACAATATGCCACTGAAAATACTGAAAAGTCTGCAACTTTTTCATTCAATGTGATTTTTTTTTTATGGTCACAAAATTTCTATTTTGACTGTCAAAGGATTATTGAAGTTTGAAACAAGGTCCAGTAAGAGCTATGCTATGTAATAATGTAATACCTGGTCCCTGGAAAGTTTAAAATCAGTTATTTTTTGTGTTTAAAAAAATCAGGTAATCTGGCAATTGACAGGTAAACCACAATTTATTTTTTTAATAACCTGAAGTTATTTTTGCTTTGAAAATCTAGTTGTATATATTTGATCATAATTACCTAGATCTTTAAAAAAAGTATTAGTAAGGTTTTTCTCCTTCATGAAACCCACACAAGCCACTGTGGGATAATCGGGAAGATAAGGAAAAGTATAAAATAGAAAATAAAATGTTCATAATCTATACTATTTTAGAAATAGCCACTACATGCATTTTCATGTATTTCTTTCCAGTCTTTTTTTCTATGTATATACAAATATTTTGTTTCAAAACAAGGATAATGTCATATGAAGTTTATTATCTTTAGCATTGCTTCATGACCATGACTTTTTTTCAATGAATGTTCTTAGATGTGATATAAATAGTTGCATAGAAGTCTTCATACAAATTCACGAGATTGTATTTATTTGATCCCCAGAGATCAAAGCAGTAAGGAAATGGCATATGTGTGTGTATTGATTAAATTCAAACCATTTTTTTCTCAAAATATACTATTCAACTTTACGTATCTTGCCTAAGCAAGTAAGTACTCAATAATTGTATGATAGGAATTACTAAATGAAATCTTTTGATATATCAAAGCTCTATTTTTAATACAATGCTGAAATTTTGCTCCCAAAAGCATACTTCAGAGTCATAAAGTAATATGTTGGTTACTTGGGTTAGACTGGAAGCTACTGTGGTAACTGAATGATTTTCACACGTAGTTTTAGTCTTCATGGGTTTATGTTTAATAGTGAAAACTAAAGGTCAATGTGCTTCTCCTCATAAATAATCAATTCCACAGGTGACCTAGAACTAGGGTTCTTGTTAAGTTGTTGAATTGGTCCTATTATGTTGTTGAGATGGCACTATATCGATAAAAGTGGCTCTAATATGTTCTTTGTAACTGTTACATACTGTTCTATTGTTTGAGTAAACCACAGTTTTATCTATTCTTTGTTGTTTTTACTTCTAGTTGTTTTTTAGCTGTTATAAACAATGCTATGGTTATACATTTAAAAATTAAGCCCGGGGTGCCTGGGTGGCTCAGTTGAATAAGTGTCCAACTTCAGCTCAGGTCATGATCTCATGGTTTGTGAGTTCAAGCCCCACAAAGGGCTCTGTGCTGACAGCTCAGAGCCTAGAACCTGCTTCGGATTCTAGGTCTCCCTCTCTCTCTGCCCCTCTATCGCTTGACCTCTGTCTCTCTCTCTCAAACATAAATAAACATTTTTAAAAAGTTAAAAATTAAACACATTGTTTCAAATGCAAATGAGCATAATATCTATACTTTTTTGAGCCCTGTGGTCCAGGAAAGGGCCTGAGGGTGGTGAGTGTTGCCTTCCATCATACCTCACACTTACAGGGGGGGCCTTATTTTTTTTTTATGTTTACTTATTTTTGAGAGAAAGAGTGCATGAGTGAGCATGTGTGCCAGTAGGGGAGGGGCAAAGACAGAGGGAAAGAGAGATTCCAAACAGGCTCTGCACTGCCTGCTGAGCTGAAATCAAGAGCCAGACACTTAACCCGCTTAATGGACTGAGCCACCCAGGTATCTCCCAGGGGGTCCTTATTAAGTAGATAGATAGTTGGATGAGTGGATGGATGCCTGGATCCCTGGAAGGATGGATGCATGGATGGGAAGATGGATAAATTAATGAATTCTTGAATCTCCTGGTTCAAGATCTCTTGATTCCTCAAAACTTGTCCATCCATCTGTAAAATCTCCTTGCCTGTGTGGAAGAATAACACATAAACTCTTAGTCTCCTTTTCTTCTAGATGTTGAAATGCTTCAGGCCAGTACATCTAATTCAATCCCTGGAGATGGCTTCCCTCGGACTACCAAGGACTCTATGATCCGCAAATTTTTAGAAGGTAATTTGTAGCTGTGAGCAGGGAAGCAAAAAGAGGGAAAGAGAAACAAATGTAAGACGCTGCCTTGTTCCGTATGATGTTGCTTCATTAAAGGAATGGGTTGCCATATGCTTGGTGTATGGCATGACTGAAGGCACTCCGTTGCCGTGAGTTCTGCCATCGGCCTCTTACAGGTAGGCCAGAAGTTCTCACCACTGGAGCCATTCATCTGGGTAAACAAGCTGCCTTCGACAAGACCTGTTTTTAAATGTGTATGTTTAATTTTATTTGATCAAAATTTATTGAGTACCAACTATGAGCAAAGTGCTACTCTGGATGTTGGGTTGGGGGACAAGGAGGAAAATAAGATGTGATCAGTGCCCTCAAGATATGACTTTCTGGTGAAGGAGGATAACATAGGGGAATGTACACAAGTAATTTTTTTTAATGTTTATTTTTGAGAGAGAGAGAAAGAATATAAGCAGGGGTGGGTGAGAGGCAGAGAGAGAGGGAGAGGCAGAACTCAAAGCAGGCTCCAGGCTCTGCCCTGTCAGCACAGAGCCTGATGTGGGGCTCAAACTCACAAACCGTGAGATCATGACTTGAGCCAAAGTGGGATACTTAACCAACTGAGCCACCCAGGTGCCCCACACAAACATTGCCCCACATTGTTAAGTTGAGCCTGTGTTGCATCATGGTTAAGAACATAAACTCTGAGGGGCGCCTGTGTGGCTTAGTTGGTTGAGTGTCCGACTTTCGCTTGGGTCATGATCTCACGGTTCGTGGGTTCGAGCCCCGCGTCGGGCTCTGTGCTGACTGCCAGCTCAGAGCCTGGAGCCTGTTTCAGTCTGTGACTCCCTCTCTCTCTGACCCTCCTCTGCTCACGCTGTTTCTCTCTCTCTCCTAGAAATAATAAATAAAAATTAAAAAAAAAAAAACGTAAACTCTGATCTGTATTTAGTTCCTCCTTCACTTAGCAGGAAAACCTTGGACAAGTTCTCAACTCCTCTGGTCTCAGTTTCCTCAGGTGAATGTTGTGAGAATTGAGTGAGTTTTTGTGCAGTGGGCCTCAGAGCAGCGCTAGGCACAGAGCAAGTGATAAAGGTTTATGATTATTGTTGTTGTTGTCGTCATTATTATTATCATTGAAGGTCAGGGATGGAGGGTATTAAATTATGTGGTTAATTCCTCATGTTGTTCAATCGTTTATAATTAATGGGTGGGGAGGGTCTGTTGATGAAGCAGGCATAGAAAGCAGAATGCTAAGAGGATGGGATGCAGGATGGGAGAAGTAGTTTGACAGTGAAGAAGAAAGAAGAGTTCTGTGTAGTGGTAGATAAACCATAGCCTGTCTAGCTGCCTGTTTTTGTAAATAAAGTTTTATCGGAACACTTTGCACCCATTCATTTAATATTGTCAATGGTGGCTTTTGCACTATAAAAGCAGGATTGAGTACTTGTGTGCATAGTCACAGGTGGCAGGCCCTGTGGGAATCACTGTCACTGGTAGGGTAGCCAGCAGCTGTTGCAGGCCCCCTCATTTTGTTAACACTATACACGCCTCTCCAGAATTTCGTCATGCTCTTGTGTTTAAAGATGAATAGATGGGAGCATCTCCACTGACTGGAAAGTTTCTCAAGGGCAGAGCCTTGGAAGTCAGAGCCCCTGGGTGAGTTGGAACTCCCTGGTCGGTCTGGATCCAAGATACAGGGAAGTCAAAGGGTAGTCTCCCTGCAGCTCAGAAAAGATGCAACTAAAAATTTTCCAATAAATCACTGGACTGGAAATTCTACAGGAAGAAGATCTAAGCTTTAGTCATTCCTGTATCTCAAGCAAGATTTTAATAAAGATTTGTTGACTGAATGGTGCTAGGGAAAAGAAGGAAGTGAGAGAACACCTACTATGTATAATCACTAAGCTGGATACTTTTCCTTACGGTACTCCTGTGAGTAGGTCTCAGAAGGAAATCGTATTCAGGTTGTATAACATGGCTGAGGTCACCATGGCTCATGTAGATGAGGGGCAGATGGCACGCAAAGCTCTGTTAAGATTCTTGAAGCCAAGAGGACGCTGTACTCGGTTCCCAGCAAAGAACATTGCACCCCATCACCAGGAAGGGGGCAGTGAAAATCTTGTGGCTCTGGGTTTCCAGAGACAGAGGGGGAGAGGCAAGCTTCTGTCCTCTATCTTTCTGATCGACGGAGATCAGAGTGGGGGCAAAGGTTGTAAAAAAGCAGTAGAGCATGGAGGTTAAGAGCAAAAGTTCTGGAGCCAGCTTTCCTGGATGCCAGTCTGGTTCTATGTAGCTTTGGGCAATTTATTTAAATCCCCAAGGGCCCAGTTTCTTCATCTGCAAAATGAGAATAATGATTGTAGTTATTGCAGAGTCATTACATAATCAAAGGAGATAACATGGGTAATATACTTGGAACATCCTTTGGCACAGAGGAAGTCTACAGGAAGGATTTGCTGTAGTCACTTTGATGCTGAGGATGAGAATGCTGGGAGTGTTGGTGGTGAGGACTCCTGGCCACCCTCCCACTGCTTCCCAGGCACCAGGGAGTGGTTCCAAGTGTCCTTTGGCTTTGAGGGATATGTCCCTTTTTCCCTAGTTCTAATGGAATGAATAACTGTATCCTAGCAATACAATTAAGCTGATAGAGCCTAGTGCTCACTTCCTTTTGCTGCCATGATGGGTGGCAAATGAAGGTGACATCAGTGTTTTTCAGTTGCTTCACCTGCAGTGACTGCTGAGTGGATCATACAGGAGATGATGTAGAGGAAGATCTTTGCCAAAGGGCGGTACTATACAAATAAGTTATGGTCTCTCTCTTTGCTCTTATGACCGTCAGTCATCCAGCTCATTTGGCCACTGCTTTCAGGCACCTTTCTCTGTGTTTCTAGGTAACAGCATGGGAATGGGCAGTCCGGAGAGGGACCTGCACTGCACTGGTCAGGAAGAAGATGTTTATCACACAGTGGATGATGATGAGGCCTTTTCCATGGACCTGGCCAACAGGCCCCCTGTCCCAGTGCCCAGGCCAGAGGCCACTGCCAGTGCTCCCGGCACGCACTACCTGCCTGACAATGAACCATACATTTCTAAAGGCAAGTGTGGCAGGGAATGGTGCTCAGCAGGGTCTTCAGGGCTTCTTGGCAGAAGTTCTGGTTCCTCTTAACTTCTAAACCATTGCTCAGAGACTGCCTGCTTTTGAATGGTCTCTAACCAGCCTCAGGAGATGGGGTTAGAGCTTGGGAGATTTTGGAGCTGTACCATGGGCAAAGATCAGATTCAGTTCTGGCGTTCCTGAAGCATTCATATGCAGTACGAAGACAGAGGTAAATAAGATTTCCCTCTCCTCCAAATGGCCAGAACCCTGGTAAACTTCTATCTCCTGCAAGTATTATTATTTAATAGCTAACATTTATTGAAATCTACCAAGAGTACTCTATCTGGAATGTATCATTTAATCTTTACAATCCTCTGTTAGGTAAGGGCTATTATAATCCCCATTATACAGATGAGGAAAAGGAGACTTCTAGAGGTTACTCTGTTACCACATAGCAGAGCCAGGATTTGGACTCAAGGAATCTGACTCCACAACCCTGGCTTTCTGCTACTGGGCTAAGCTCTCTACCTACCTACACTAATACAAATTGGTGAGAGTTGGGTTTGACTTCATAGTGATCCCTGGGACATCAGTTAGATGCTGATGCATTGTCAGTTTCACCCTCTTTTGGGACTCCATTGTATCGATATGATTACAAATACTGTAAGATCCAAGAATTGTGAGATCTGTGTGCCTGACATCCACTCCATTTTTAATAGTATAAGAAAGTTGTAGAAGGTGTGGCAAAAGGAGATCACAAATCGGGGAAGGTAGCCCTCAACCGGAGCCCCAGGTATAGGATGCTCAGTTAAGTATGAACTTCAGACAGAAAGCAAACAATTTCTTAGTGTAAGTATATCCCCAAATTGCAATCTTTTTTTTTTTTTTTTTTCGGTTTTGATTTGTTAAACCTGGCAACCCTAAACTGGGTAGAAATGCAGTTGAGGGGCGTCATGTATAGCCAGGTGCTCTATGTGCTTTGCCATTCCCTTGGGTAACATGTCCTTCAGCGTGTGTAACAAACATGTTTGGTGCCCTGCCCACGTCCCTCTAGCTCTTTCCATTTCTGTGCCCACTGGCTGGACCCTGCCTGTCAGTACTTGTGTCTTTTAGTCTCACCACTTTCTCTGGCAGCTGGAGTCTCCTCTCTCCGTTTGCAAGTCACATTGGAAGAGTTGGGGCATTAGCACCCCAAGCCCTCATCCAGTGACTGATGGGTTAGTGGCTGAGTGAGTATGCCAGCCTACTTGCCCTTCTGCTGGGAGAACTCTGAGGTGCATGTCCTACAATGCTTTCCAGAGCTCCCAAGCTTGCCCACCCTGGTACCTTACTGGACGCCCACTAGGTACTGCTTTATCCGCTTCCTTATCTCACCTCCTTTAGCCCCCACACTGACTCCTTGCACCTGGATCCTTGTCTCCAGGTCTGCTTCTAAAGGAGCCCAAATGAAAAGGCATGAAAATGTATATTGATAATTCCTAATTGGTGGGAGAGGAGGAGTGTTAGTGGCATGGCTCATTTTGGGGAGCTGGGACAGGGGCACGGATGATTCCTAAAGGTCGCTGAAGGACATGCTAGGAAACTGGGGAAGCAAAGGAAAGGGAGAGGCAGGAGATGACAAAAAGGACCGTGGTTTGGAGGCCAGATCCCCTGGGTTCATGTCCCAGCTCTTGCATTTTCCAGCTATACAGCCTAGGACATTAGGTCAGTCATTTCACTCTCTTTAACTTTAGTTTCCTCATCTGTAAAATGGGTACCATAATAATATGTATATCCACGGATGCCCTATTGGTGGGCATCTGTTGCTCATGAGTGACTTCATCTAAGTCCCTTTGGAGCTGTGTACACATGGTATCTGTTCCACTCCTCCGAGTTCTGTCTTGTAGCACTTGTTGGTATGCTAAGTGGCACTTCCTTTTACTCTCAAGCTTCAAGGTGTTTCATGGGATCTTCTTCAGATATTCTGGGATCCAGCTTACATCCTTGTTCACATTACCCTTTTCTTTAATGATCCCATAAGTGCCGATCATGTCCTCTGCCTAGATTTGTCTTTCTGCCTTTGAGGACTTGTCTCTTTGGGCTGTCTTCATTTCATAATCCCTCTAGCTTTAGCTCCTTATTTGCCTCCTCCTAGAGTTTTGATTTACAGAACTGCAGACAGTGGTCCAAGGTACAGTCCGTCACTTCTATTTTTGTACAAGATTTTGGTAATTTTCCTGGTAAATAAATAAAATATTGTAAAGCCCCTTAGAAAGAGATCTGATTTGACTTTTACCTAGAATATTCTTTATCCCATAGTTTTTGCAGAAAAAAGTCAAGAGCGGCCTGGGAATTTCTACGTTTCCTCAGAAAGCATCAGGAAAGGTAAGCCACACGTCCACAACTTCCTTTTGGTTTTTTGGTTTTGTTTTTGTTTTTAATTTTTTAAAAATGTTTTATTTATTTCTGAGAGGGAGAGAGAGAGCAGGGGAGGGTCAGAGAGAGAGGGAGACATAGAATCGGAAGCAGGCTCCAGGCTCCGAGCTGTCAGCACAGAGCCTGATATAAGGCTCGAACCCATGAACCGTGAGATCATGACCTGAGCTGAAGTCAGACGTTCAACCAACTGAGCCACTCAGGCGTCCCCACAGCTTCCTTTTGTATGACCTGAACTTCCGGGTAGTAGAAGTGTTCATGTTTCATTGATTTTCCACTGTAACAGCTCCTTAGCATTAAGACAGAGAGAGGTCTAGGGGATTCATTGGGTGGTGCTGTACCAATGAGAATGCGAGAGGAGAGGAGAGACACTGTGCCCTAGAAGAGTGTACAGATTGATCATACCGAGGACGTGAATACACTGGGAAGTGTCTGCAACAGCACACAAAAGTGCAGTGTAAACACTGAGCTTGGTGCCAACAGGATGAAAGTGGGTGGCCTGGCACCCAGGCTTTACCTAACCGACACAGCCCAAGCGTGGTATTTACTTACCCTATCCGTTCTAGCGAAACTAGACTTTCATTCAACTTTTATTTAAAAGACATTTTGCTTGCTCTTGGGTAACATTTTCCTTCCTTTTGAGGAAGTTTGAGGAGATAAGTACTCCTTTTTTCTTGATTAACTTCCTTGTGCTAAAGAGAGACATTCAGTATTATCCCACTGATGATTCTTTTGAAAAGGAGACATGTGGGGCACCCAGGTGGCTCAGTCAGTTAAGCCTCTGACTCTTGATGTCAGCTCAGGTCATGATCTCACAGTTTGTGGGTTTGAGCTCTGCATTAGGCTTCATCCCTGCTTGGAACCCTCTCGCCCTCACTCTCTCACTGCCTCTTCCCTGCTCTTTCTCTCTCTCTCTCAAAATAAATAAGTAAACTTTTTAAAAAATTAAAAAAAAGAAAAAGAAAAGGAGACATGACACCATCTAAATGTTTGAAGGCATCCCAAGGATTTAGGTAGTAGGAGAGAGGAATTGATTGGCTCATGCATTTTGTTTGCTCCCTACACCCCCTCTTCCAATACAATTAAAGACAGCCTTGAAGAAGGTAAACCTGGAAGAAAGGTTTTTGGGTGTGTATAGACAGGTGAGTAAATGGGCGTGAAGAAGGACAGAAAACCTTTGAAGTCATCTCTCTTTTTCCATCTTGCTTTCTCTCTAAGTCACGGTGTTCAATTGGGGTCCTGCCGGAGGAATTTAGAATCAGAGGTGCCCTACGTGAAATGAGCAGTAAAATGTCAAGTTGTCCTCACAAACCCCAACGGCCCTGTCACCTCTACAAGTAGTTTGTTCTCCGCAGTACTTAGTGGAGTCAGCCTCGAGAAAGAGAGGGGTTGCCTTCTTATTTCCTTAGACTCTTCAGAGCAGAGAACCATGAATTTGTAATGTGGAGGAGAAGCTGGTGCAGGAATAACCCAACGAGAGCTAGTTGGGATGCAGCCCTTGGTTTATACCTAGTGACATTGGAGCTAGATCCTGGTTCCACTGGCATTCCAGTCTTCTCGGGTGTGTCATGCCCTGGTCCACAGTCATTGCAGCCATGCTACCCGGAGGTGGGAAGAATAGGGAAGGCTAGAGTGTGTTGGGAAAACCATACTGCCTAGAATTTCCCATATATTCTTTTCTGGGAATGGATTTTTCTCTTACGTAGTGGTTCTTGACCAGAGGTGATTTCTCCTCTCCCCACACTGCCTCCCAGAGGATACCTGGCGGTATCTGGGATGTTTTTGGTTGTCACAGCTGGGGTAGGGGATGCTCTTGGCATCTAGTTGGTAGAGGCCAGGGATGAGGCTAAACACCCTACAGTGTATGAGACAGTCCCCCACCCCCAACAACAGTGAACTGTCCAGTCCAAGACATCAACCGTGTCTTAAGCTGAGAAATGCTAGTCTAATGGCTTCTCAGTAATTCAGATTTGAGAGATTCTCTTGATTCCAGTGGATGCTATTCATAAAATGCTTTCCTAAAATGTTGTGGCCTTGTGTACTCTAGTGTAAGAGGATTTGGAATTATTAGCTCCTTTCCTCTCTCTGATTCCATGTCACAGCTCCCCCTTCTTAGTTCCATGTGTACGTTTTCTTTTGAGACACGTCCTCCTGAGCCCGTGACCAGCCTCATTAACCCCCCTCCTCTGCCTACCCTCTCCAGCTGGGGAGCTGTCACACTGAGTTTTGCCATCCTTTCCAGAGCCTCTCGTCAGACCGTGGAGGGACAGGCCCCAGTCAAGTATATATGACCCTTTTGCTGGGATGAAAACGCCCGGCCAGCGGCAGCTCATTACCCTCCAGGAGCAGGTGAAGCTGGGCATCGTCAACGTGGACGAGGCTGTGCTGCACTTCAAAGAGTGGCAGCTCAACCAGAAGAAGAGGTCTGAGTCCTTCCGCTTCCAGCAGGTAACCAGCTCTGTACGGTCTGTTTCCTGTCTGTTTCTCCACTGAACAGTGGAGGGCTGGGTCCGGGCCGCCTGGTGTACTCCTGTGACTGAGCACCTGGGGCCAGGCCCGAGACTGGGTTTTTGAGTGTCACTGTGAATCAATGTGTATGTATATCTGTCACCTGTAGTCTGTGACCACACGGCTCCCTGGCCGAGAGCTGGATGACTTTGCTGGTTGTCGTGAGGCTAGAGATCAGGAACAAAGACGACTGTAAATCCTGATTCCTCAGCTGCTGCTTCCCTCTACATATGGCCCTACACTTTTGCTTTCCAGCGTTTTTTCTTTTCTGAGTCCCTCTTTCTACTCCTAGTGCCAATACTCTCACAGAACTATCACACTTTTGAACTCAGAGAACTTGGACAGTTCCCAAGAAATATGATTAACAGAACAAAACAAGTTGCAGACATGAAACCACATAAGTTAAAGTGCACTCATATACAAACTGTATTTCTATATGCATGTATACCATGCAGAGGCAAAGGTGAGGAAAGGCCACCCATGGCCATCCCAAGGGTGACCACTCAGGAGACTGGGATTGGAGGACTGGGCTGTCAGAGGAGACTCTTGCTATTTATATATAAGAATCTGTAACTTCATACATGTACTTCATGTGTAATTTAAAGCAAGTCAGATAACTCAAACTTGACCTTAGGAAGCATATCTTTGATCCAACTCCTTCATGTTAATGAGGACATTGATAGGGCATCTTAGTGGCTCAGTCAGTTAAATGTCTGTCTTCAGGTCAGGTCATGATCTCACAGTTCATGAGTTTGAGCCACATCAGGCTCTCTGCTGTCAGCATGGAGCCCACTTTGGATCCTCTGTACCCTTCTCTCTGCCCCTGCCTTCCTCACACTCTACCTCTCTCTCTGTCTCTCAAAAAATAAAATAAAATTTAATTTAATTTAAAAAAGTTAAATAAAAAGAAGACGTTGAGCCTAGGGTGATAGGAGATATGTCCAAGATCACTTACCTAGTAAGTGGAGGGAAAGGTAGGACCGGGATGGTTGCTTTTTCTCTCCACCTCCCCATGGTACTTTCCAGAAGGTGTGTATTCTAACATCTGTCCTCAGAGGACCTGACACACCTGTGGTGGGGGGGCAGGGGGAGGGGAGCAGCACCCACCTAATGCCGAGATGGGAGTCGTGTCGTCTGAGAGGGAGAGTAGGGGGTGACAAGTGGGGAAGTGAGTCGTCAGGCAGTATTTGTCCAGCTGTCTGTTGAATGGACCCAGTCTCTTCTGCATTCATGACATGCATGTGAGAGAAGTATCACTGTTCCCATTTTACAGAATGCTGAGGCTCAGAAAGGCGGAGAGACAGAGTCAAATTCAAATGAGCCCTTTCTCACACTACAGCCTATGCTCCCTTCACTACACTTTCTGCCTTCTTAGTGCTTTCTAAAACGGGGTCATCTGCTCTGGTGGCCCGCCTCCCTTCTCCTGGGGATCTGATGGCTGGGAAGGCAGTCTGCAGTTCTGAATATGGGAACCTAGGGTCCTCTCATTCGGGAGCCGTAGGGGGCTGCAGACCTGCTGGGACAGCCTGGCCCTGGGCAAACAGTCCTCACTCCCCGTACCCAGCGAGCTGCATGTCATGCCTGGTCTTGCTCTGTGACCTTCTTCCTCTTGCATCTGCTCCTTTCTTTCCATTCCCCCCATGCCAGCTTCTGTCACCTTCATCTGACCTAGCACTTAGTTTCCAGGTGGGTCTCCTTGCTGCCAACTCCTTCCTCCCACACTCCATCAGACCTTAAAGCTGTGACCGGCCCATACCTTCTAGAGCTCCCCTGGTACTTCCTGGACCCAGCTCAGTCTCAGCTCTGGTTACATCCCAAACACCCCACCCAGCCTGGCCTCCCGTAGCTTCTTCATTGGACCCATCTGGATGTCTGGACGTTGGTCCCTGGAGCACTTTCTCTAGAATGTTCACACACTTTGAGGTAGTTGTTATTGACTAAAATAGCAACAGGGGTGCCTGAGTGGCTCAGTTGGTTAAGCATGTGACTCTTGGTTTCGGCTCAGGTCATAATCTCACAGTTCATGATCTGAGGTCATGATCTCATGGCTGACAGCACAGAGCCTGCTTGGGATTCCGTCTCCTTCTCCCTCTGCCCCTCCCCCTCCCCTACTTGCTCTCTCTCTCTCTCTCTCTTTCAAAAATAAATAAAAATAAACTTACAATTTAAAAAAAATTTTTTTTAAATAAAATAACAACAAAATTCATCTCTCATGTGTCTATTCAACATTTGCTGAATGACTGCAATAGACCAGACTGCACAGTTTCAGAAAGGTGTAAACCTGGTGCCTTTCCCTTTGAGGAGGCACAGTACCCCTGAAGAGATAACACACACACACACTCAAACCCATCCGCATGCACAAATGCACAAGGCAGCACAGCTCAGTGCCAGACGGCACGTTGTAGTCACTAAGGATTGAAGGTTTAGCGGTTTGGGGAGGTTTGACAGAGGAGGTGAACCTTGACCCAGACCTAGAACACATTCATGAAGAGGAATCCTTGTCCCTCACGGTCAGAGGAATGGTATGAAAACAATGTCAGTGGCAGTGTGCAGGGAGTGTTTGTTAACATGTAAGGGACTGGCTTGGCTAAAGGAGCGTCAAGGAGGAGGGCAGTGGTTCTAAGGCTGGGAAGGAGTTAGAAAGAGAGGGGAGGGGAGATGCTTTGTTGTTGTGGAAAAGACGTCTTCTCCTTAGGCACAACTTCTAAGAGTACTTGAACTTCTCTGAGGGCTGATTGCAAATGCATTCAACCTCATTTGTATGTTATTGCAATGTGATATATGGTGCAAACAGCATAAAATCAGAAAGAAACTCTAATGTCCAGAGGGTATATTTCTGGTATCTACTTTTAAAATGTACTAAATTTTTTTCCAGGAAAATCTTAAACGGCTAAGAGATAGCATCACCCGAAGACAGAGAGAGAAGCAAAAATCAGGAAAGCAGGCAGGTACGTAGCTCCTTGGTAGCACCGCATCGTGGGAAATTGCTGTTTTCTGTTGTTCCAGACCCTCCTTGCTGCTGTGGCCTGAGTGGGTAGAAAGCTTGCCTGGAGCCTGTCACCCTGTTTACAGATCTGGATCCCCTGCCATCCTGTGAGGGTCTTTCGGACAATGGCTTTGTCTTGGTTATTCTGCATACCTCATACCAGCACAGAAGACGTGTCAGCAAATGAATGAATGGATTGACCTCTGCCTCTCTCCATCCTCTCACTCAAAGAGGATGATCAGACTTTCTCCCCAAGCATCTGGCTCTTACCTTAGCATTTAGGAAGATGTGTTTTTTGTTTTTGTTTTTGTTTATTTTCAAGGGAGAGAGAGAGAGAGAGAAGGGGGGGAAGAGGCAGAAAGAGAGAGAGAATCCTAAGTAGGCTCCACACTCCTCACTGAGCTTGACACAGGGCTTGATCCCATGACCCTGGGATCATGACCTGAGCAGACATCAGAAGTCGGATGTTCAAACAACTGAGCCACCCAGACGCCCCAGGAAGACATGTTTTTTGAGCAGAGAAAGAAGAAAATCTCATTCCCATAGTATCCCTTTTTCACTGAAGCAGGGAACTGTGTCATTGAGGTCTACACCATACAAGCCAGGACTCCAGGTATAGCAAGGCTCCTGCCATGTGTAGTGGGGGTCTAACAGGAGGACCATGCATTCCAGTGATTACACTGAGGACCGGGCTTCTTGGCACCACTACACCTAAGCATTGATGGGCATTTGCTTAAGTTGCATATTCCCACTGAAAGCCTCTGGTGTGGGAGGTCTCTGTGATTTATTTGGCCAGGGTTTATTAAGTGGAGCTGACAATAAAAGGCTTTCAGAGGCTTTCTGATCTTGAGTAGGGCCCCATTAGTCCTTTATTTAAAAGGACTAAGCTTGTGCATGACTTCCATAGTCTGTCTCCAGCTGCCATCAAGAGCCTGACTTCTCGTGACCTTGGTCAGGCAGGTAACACCCCAGTCTTTAAAAAGGACATCTTCCTGCCATAGGCCCCTTGCTCATGCCTTTTCTTTCTCACCTGCATGAAAACTACAGGGCTACAAGACCAGCCCATCAGCCCCTGCTCAGTGAGGGCTTCCTGGGCCACTCAAGGCCATTGTACCCCTTCCTCATTTGAGCATTTATAGAACCTACTATCCCTCCCATTCATCTGACACTTCTCTTTTGCTGCCTCTGATTGCTATGACTTCATTCCTTTATTCAAACCATCAGCAATTCCCAGAGGTTCTGCTTCCAAAATGTGTCTTCGGTCTGATCATTTCTGACCATCTCCCCTGCCACAGCTGCAGGCAAGCCAACATTATCTCTTCCTGGATGAATGCAAGAGCCTCTTCCATGGTCTCCCTGTGTCCACTCTTACTTCTCTACGGTTAATCCTCCAAAGTACTGCCAATGACCTTTTAAAAATAAGAAATCAGATGGTGCCAGTCCCTTGCTCAATACCCTCGGAGGCTCTTGTCCCACCCAGGGTAAAATCACACTCCTCACTGTGCCCTGAGATGCCCTACATGGTCTCCCCACTGACCTCTGAGCTTACCTTTACTTTCCCCCTCAAACCGGAGCTCTAGTCCCAAAGGACTCCCTTTTGTTGCTCTAACAAGTCAAGAGCATCCCTCCCCAGGGCCTTGGCACTTGCCCCCCCCCCCCCCCACTTTTCACACATCTTTACGGACTGGCTCTTTCATCCTTCTGAGTTTGGCTATACATTCTCCTCCTCTGAGATGCCTTTTCTCTCCAGAGTAACCCTTGATAACTCACTCTGTGTGCCTTTGCTCACCCTTCTTTCACATATAACAGACTGGAATTGTCTTATGTTTCATGGTCATTTTCTGGCCAGAAAATTTCTGGCAAGAGTTTGTCTGTTTTGTGCTCTGCTAAATCCCCCACACGTAGGGTAGTACATTGATTGGGCTCAAGAAATCTCCATTGGGATGGTCTATTTCAGGAAAATTTTTTGGTAACATCATTCATTCACTCTACAAATACTTAATTGAGTACCAGGCTCTTTGCCAGATCACAGAGACCCGTAAGGCATGATCATCACCATCTGGTAGCTTATGAGTTAGTCTTTAATTTGTATAGGTCTGATTTTCCCAGCTGGAGCCTGCCCTACAATGCCCAGCACAGTGTTCTGCATACGGTACTAGCTTAGTGAATATTAACGATTTTGACTGTTTGGGAAAAGAGGCATAAAGAGGTTATAACTATGGCAGAAGGTCAGAGAGGTCATCCTAAGAGATCTGCTTGGGTGACTAGATTTTAACTGTATGTTTCCACTACCCAAGCTCCCACTTGTCTGCCCTCTTGGCCTAAGGGAGGGAAAGGAGAGAAGGCAAAAAATCTGGTTTAAGATCTGCATGGTCATCTTAGGGTCAGACAGTAGGTTTTAGGTAAAAGGGATGAGGTGCTTTTTAAAACTAGAGCACATGAACCCAAAGATAGAAGCCTTGATAAATGAAACATTTCACGCTTTTACACATAGGCAGCCTCAAAAAAGCTGCGATCTGGTGGTGCATGAGGTGTTTGAAGGCCAGGGTGTCGCTGTGTTGGAGTCATGAGTGCTGGGTGGCTAGGCCCCAGAACTGAACCCACTGGATATCATCACACCTTTACCATCCCATCAGTGGAGATATTGAAGTAAGACACACACGTGTTGAGGAGTAAAGGGGTACAGGCATGGGCCCTGAGGCCATCAGGGTTGGGGTCAAGTTCCTAGCCACGGCTCACCCCTCACATCTGGGAACTATGGACAAGGCAAGTCATCCAACTGAGCCTCAGTCCTCTTCTGCAAAGTGTCACCAATAAAAGTGCCTACCCCACTAGGGTTCCTGTAAGGATTGAACCAGTCAGGGTCTAGTTGGGGTCTAGCACAGTGCCTGGCACAGGGAAGCACTGTAAAAACCACCATATAGCAGCTGGTGGCCTCTCAGGCAGAGTCTCCCAGGGTGCATGTGCTGGGCTGGGACTTGCCATCTAGGATCCAGCCCTGAAATCCTGGGTTTTAAAATGTTTTCCAAGGTTCACCCAAAGCTAATCAGACTCTGAATAAGTGATACCACCAGTGTCTGTACTCTGCATTGGAATGGTCAACGTCTGCGTTCTTTCAAAGGAGCCCGGTAAAATGCCCTCCCGAGCCTCACCCTCTACTCTTCAAGAAGCAAACCTTCGGACTAGGAATTTAATGGGGGGGAGGGTGTTAGTATTTTTCCTTTTTTTAATTTTGAGAGTGAGAGTATGAGAGGGGAGGAGCAGAGAGAGAGGGAGAGAGAGAGAGAATCCCAAGCAGGCTCTGTGCTGTGGGGCTCAAACTCACAAACTACGATATCATGATCTGAGCCGCTTCACTGACTGAGCCACCCAGGTGCCCCCATTTTTGTTTTTTATTGTGGTAAAATACAAGTAACATAAAATTTATCATTGGACCTAAATGTACAACTGAGTGGTGTTAACTACATCCATAATATCATTCAACCATTACCACAATCCATTTCTAGAATTTTTCTTCCCCAACAAGGATTTAAGAGCAAGTAGCTGCTGTGGGAGATGACCCCAGGAACCCAGTGGGAGTGGGGAGGTGAGAGGGGGAAGGAAAAATGGCCAGCAAAGTACAGCTACCACTGTGGAGGTGGAGCTTCACGTCCCTGGAGACTCTGGGGGTCCATAGAGAACACTATGAAAGAGTGATCCTTCCCCAGGGGGCATTTCTTCACCAGCTCCCATGTCTGGGTGAGGCCTGCTGGTGGAGGGGTGCTTGTAATCTAGTTTCCAGAGAAAGCCTCGGCCAGTCTGGGAGTGGGGCCCTGTACTACATAGTGAGGCCCAAGGGCATAAGAGCATCTTCTGGAGAGTGGGCATTTTTATGGTTGAATGAATATGGCATATTACTTAACTCCATAAAACTTGATTATATATTTAGTGACATACGAACTTGTGGTTACCCATTTCGCACTGAGTAGCCTCAGTGCTGCTGTATGTGTGCTTGTGGGAGTGGGGGGTTGGCACTCGGGGGGGTGGGTAGGGTAAAGCGGGGGAACTAGTAGATAGAATTGGGACAGTGTTCAGGGCAACCTACTCTTTGACCATCGCAGCTCCTTTAAAAAAAAAAATCTGTTTTCCACATTGAGTTTCTGTTTTCAACAGAGGAAAGAATTCTGCTCCCCCCCCAAAAAAAAAAAGAAAAAGAAAGAAAAAGAAAAAGCATTTGGAAACATTGACACAGAGTAACGTCAATCTGTAGGAAAATTAGGGTTGACAAATGGCATCTCTGTTTAAAGGACCTTTTCTAGGAAGGGAGCCCATTCTAAACATAAGGGCTGACTCTATTTATTTAGAAATCTCACTTGCCTTAGAAAAGAGAAACGATGATTATTTTGCTTTAATTTGGGTTAGAACACCAAGGATAATTAAAAAGTAAGATTCTGTTCATAATAACTTGCTGGTCTTTCTTCAGCCTCAGAGAGTTGTTCCGTTCTTGCTGGGATGATGCAGAATGCTGATGGTGTAGGAAATCAGTCACTGGGGTGGCCCGTGACTTGTTGAACACCCTAAAAGAAGACAATCAATATTTGTGTTCTGGGTGTGCCTGGGGCTAGTCTGGGGAAGGACAGAGAGGAGCAGGCAGGGTGCCAGGAAACCGGGGTCCCAATCCCTGCTTTATCACTTTACAATCCAAGACCATCCCTTTAACCACTCTGTGCCTCAGTTTCCTCATCCATGGTTATACCTGACTAGTCAACTTCATAGAGAAGGAGGGAAGTTCAAAGGAGGTACAATGACCCAAGTGGACACGCTTTGGGAAAGTACCTTGCAATCTAATGATGTGTTCCTTTCTTCCAAGAATATCAGGATTTTGTAGACATTTAGACTGACTCTACTTGATTTTTTGAACTTTTGACTCCCAGGTTTTTTCTTGTGTATTTTACTTTCCTTCCTCATAGAACCGGTTGAGGGTAGAAAATTGACTCATTGAAGTGAATGAAGCTGACAGGAACCTCCCTTTAAAAGAGTGTTGTTAAAAAAAAAATGCTAGGTCAAAGCTGAGGGGGGAAAATGTATGACACCTGTTTGGGCCCTGAGACACTACGGGCCCATGCCCACGTGCAGGTACCGTGGTCTCTGCCCAAGTAGTTGCAAGTTGCTCAGTTGTCAGAGCCTGAGCATGTGAGGAAGGTTTGTGCTACACAGAGACCTCGAAAGGTGGTTTAATACTGGGACCAAACGCTGCATTTAGAGTCAATCTCTAGTGTGAGGCATGTGTGGCATCTTGTAAACCATAGTCCAACCTTTATTTTGAGAGAGAGAGAAAGCGAGCGAGTCAGGCAGGGGCAGAGAGAGAGGGAGAGAAAATCCCAAGCAGTTTCTGTGCTGCCAGTGCAGAGCCTGATAAAGGGCTTGAACCCATGAACCGAGAGATTGTGACCTATGCTGAAACCAAGAGTGAGATGCTTCACCGACTGAGCCTCCCAGTCCAACTTTAACATTTGTGTGTTTGCCATACGCTCAGTCTACCTTGTCCTTGAACTTCTTTCCTCCTGTTGTAGTTTACCCATTCGCCCTTCTCAGTAGACTCTGGCTTTGGCAAGCAGAGCCACCTCTGGTCCTGGACTCCCTGAACTTCAGGCCACACCCATCCCATAGAAGACAAGAGGTGGAGGAGGAAATAGTGCTGTTAAGATAAGAGCACGTGGCCCAAAAGTACACGGAACTTCCACCTCTTCCAGAGGCCCTCTCTCCTGGGCTTGGGAGTGTTCCAGGCTTCAAAGGGAGCCCTGTGTCAGGAGCTCCCCTGGTGTTCACACTTTCCTGGGGAGAAAGCAGATATGGACACCCATAGATATTTTGTTCTGCTTCTTGGCAGGAGTGGTTTTCTGCTCAGGAGCCACAGGGGTGGAAATCTAGAGATGACTAAAGACACAACTACTGGGCAGGGCTAAGCCAGGAAAGAGACCAGTTTAATGCTGCAAAAGCATAATTTCTTAAGTCTGTGGTGTCCAAAACCACTGACCAGCCTTGCAAGTCACACAGTCTTTCCTGGGGCTGATGGACCTCCTTCCATTAGCTCCCTGGGTGGCTGCTGGTCAGTTACAGACCATGCGCCCAGCATCCATCATTTGCTGAGGGATCCAGAGGCAGTATGAGTAGTGGTTAAGAGCTTGGACTCTGGAGCCTGGGTTCAAATCCCAGCCATCCCATGTGCCAGCTGTGTGCCGGGGGCATGCGACTTCACTTCTCTGTAACAGTTTCTGTTGGGAATGAGGATAATAGTATTTATTTCACGGGTGTTGGGAAACTTGTGGAACTCCGCTTGGTGCACAAGATAACCAGTTCTTAGGATCAGCAGCACTCACAAGTCCCCTGTGTGAAAGGGAAGTAATTCAGGGAGCCTGACTGACTGACTCAAGTCCCACAGCAGGAGAGTGGCAGAGCCCCAGACCTTTCCCTAATCTCAGGCTATCTGCCTGATGAGGAAGCATTTGTCTGACTTTCTAATGTGCCGCCCCCATCTTGTCTGTTACCCACTGATGGCCACACAGGAGTGTGTGGAGTTTCTGTGCTGAATTGGGCAAACCACCCCCCCTCCCCATACCTACCTCTTCTCCTCCCCTCCCCTTCCCTGCCAGGTTCCGGACAGGGACACAGGTGGAGAGGGAGCAGCCCGAGCAGTTTGGTGGGCCGTAGTCTGGTGCCTTGAAGATTTTCCCTCTTTCCTCTAATTCCAGACTTGGAGATCACGGTCCCCATTCGGCACTCACAGCATCTGCCCGGGAAAGTGGAGTTTGGAGTCTATGAAAGTGGCCCTAGGAAAAGCGTCTTGCCCCCAAGGACGGAGCTACGGCGAGGAGACTGGAAAACAGACAGTACTTCCAGCACCGCAAGTGAGCAAAGGGTGGGGGTGCAGGAGGAGGGGTGCCTTCACATCTACACTCCAGCTGGTGCCTTTGTGCTTTGAGAACAGTCTCTGTTGTGAGCCCAGCAGATCCCAGCTGGAGCCTGATTTGGGTTTGGAGGTGTATGACATGGGGGACATTTAGCCTGTGAAGTTTGCCTTTTCTCAGAGGGCCGATGGTCCTTAACTTTAATATCCCCTGAAGCCAGATTGCATAGTAATTTATGACACTGTTCCTTTTACAAATAGAAAAACCTATAATAACACTAGTTAACATTTATTTATCATTTACTATATGCTAAACCTCTTCTATAGATTCTCAGATTTAATTCTCATGGTAACTCTAAGGGAAAAGCACTACCACGTGTATTTACTTAGTACCTTGCCTTAGGTGGTGATGGTGGCAGAATTTGAACTCAGGCAGTCTGGATCCAGGGCCCAGACTACTTCTGCTTCCTCAGCCATGGTAAGGGGAAGGAAAGGGCACAAAGTCAGAAACATTAGAAAACAATGGAATCAGATTTAAGAATTCCAACTTTATAGACGGTTGAGGATCTAGTTAGGAAGTGTGGAAGACATTTTGGCTTGAAAGCTTGATAAGAGTCTGTTTGCAACAGATAATACCCGCTGAGGTACACGCAGGAGGTGGGGGCTTTGTTTCCGTATCCAGGGTGGTGTTAGGTGACTTCAGATGCACTGGCTTCCTAGGCAGAAAAGATGGAGTTTCCCTTCTTTCATACATTTTAGTGTTATCAAAACAGCTAGGAAAGCCATGAAAGAGTAGGAGACTCAGGACTGAATTTCAGGACTCGTGTCTCCTGAAATGTCAGGCAGAGAACCCCCAAATGGATAATGGGACAGGAAGGTCATCTAAACCCAGGGGTTCTTAATCTTTTCTGCATCACAAACCTGTTTGAGAATCTGATGTGCGCTCTGGATGTGCTTCGCAAGAAAACGCACGTGTATATGTGTGTATATAGACACAGTTTTGCCCGTCCGTGGACTTAGGTGAACAACCTTGCACTAGTCTCCCTTCTGACTTCATAGATGGGGTATTTATGACCCAGAGAAGGAAAGGGTTTTACGCAAGGTCGCCTGGCCAGTGAAGAAAGGTGGGGGTAGGCCCACTCTTCTCTCAGCTCAACATTCCTGCCACCACGACCTTGAAACAGACCCAAAGCCTGTCCCACGACCGACCACAGGGGAAGTCGAGATAGGGCAGAGGAGAAAACTTCTCCTTAAATAATGGGGGTGGTGATGTGTGTCCAAAATCCTCTTGAGGCATTTTGGAGAATTCTGACAAGTTCATAAATGGGAGAGATTTCCCCAGTGATCACAGGTGGCTAAGGAAGCACGAGGCAGGGGGTCCATCTCTCAGATGTGTCATGGAGGACAGAAGTGGTATAGATCATTTCAGTGCATCCTGGCGTGGAGAGGAGGGGAAATTTAACAAGACAAGTGCAAAGTATTCATTTCGGGTTCAGATTAGTTCAAGTTGATTTTATGTGTATGTTTTACTTTGAGGTGAAAACAGAATGGAAAAGCATAAACTGTGCTTCTTACCTTGTGTGGTGGTTTATTGCCCAGGGGTGGCTTACCTCATCTGGTTAGAAAATGTTATTAAATGACCCAGGCAATGGGTTTTACTCTAGTCTGTGGCTGTAACCTGCCTCCAGTCCCTGTATACGCCTTTAGTCATCTATTGCTATGTAACAAAACACACAGTGGCTTGAAACATAACCATTTATTTATACCTAATTCTAAACTTGGGCAAGACTCAGTGGAGATGTTTCATCTTCGCTCCATGATGGGCCAGGTGGGTCACTCCTGAGCATGTCCTCAGCTGTAAGCTTGGCATGGTCTGGAACCTCCAAGATGGTCTCTCATCCTTCAGGACCTCTCTACATGTGGCCTCTAAATCAGTAGCCTGAGCTTCTTGTACAATAACAAAATCCAGAAAGGGAATATTCCAGAAGGATAGGCCCCAACGTGCAAGTGCTTATCATGCTTTGCCTTGCATCGATTGTCGGGCCCAAGTTTCTTAAAGGTCGTATTATATTTGGTCACTTTTTTTCCCTGGTTCATTTATCCACCAAGTATTTGAGGACTTCTCTGTGCTTTCTGAGCTAGACTGTACACTGGAGACATAAAGATGAAAAAGAAATGGAACCTGTCTTCAGGGGGCTTGTAGTGATGTAGAGAAAACGTAAAACTAGCATGAGTTAGATGCTTGTCTGACCTTTCTTTCCCGGTGACAGAGGCCTGGAAGAGGCAGGCACTGCCCTCCTCCTCCGAGGCAAGACCAAAGATGATGGGGGCTGGGGCCAGAGCCTCTTGCCAACTGTGCAATCCAAAGGGGATGTGGGCAAGCAAGACATTAGCCTGGAAAGAGCAGGGAGGGCCAGGGAGGATAAACCAGAGAGCCAAGCTTCAAAGCCAAATGCTGGGGTTAAAGATTTAGAAACACCAAAGGAAGGCACAATGGGAACTGATGAGTGTGGATTTCTAGGGTTCTGGAGCCAGTGTCTGGACAGCTTTTTGCTTCCCCAGTAAATAATCTGCAGAAGGAGGCTGGTTCATTTTGAGGCGGTGGGATGGAGAGTGGTGAATGACAGGAGGTTTGGCTCCATAAGACTGGGAACCCATGGGCCGGAGGGGTTACTTCCATGGGGTCAATCTGGAAAGGTCTCCATGGCATTTGTCCTGAGCATTGGAGCCTGAGGTTTTAGCCTTGCCAATAGGGGTGGGATGGGGATGTTCTGGCCAAGTGGACATTGTTATATATGGGTACCTGAATAGAAGAAAAGGGTCACATACATGCTCCTTGATAAGCAAACTCTGAATCCCTTCATTTATGTAAGTTTTTTGACATGTTATCTTAAAATTAAAAATCTACCCCTGAGAAATAATCCAAAATTATAATCTTGTTCTATAAGATTAATTAAGCTTATATCTAAATTAATTAGGTCAACGGTGATACCATGATGGAGTCGAAACTAAGACTATTTACTTTTAAACTAATACGATGAGGAGCTGTTTTAGGTGGAAATTCAGTAAACCTAAGACCTGGCAATACTGCTAGTGGTGATAGTGGTAAATTAAAGTCAATTCTTTTTGTTTTAATTGACTGTCATTCTTTTTTTGCTCCTGGATTATCACATATTTGAGCTTATTCTAATTTTGTACTGTCCAATATGGTAGCCACTAGCCATATGTTGCTATTTAAATTTAAGTTAATTAAAACTAAGTAAAATTTGCAGCACCTGGGTAGCTTTGTCGTGTAAGCATCTGATTTCAGTTCAGGTCATGATCTCAAAGTTTGTTGGGTTCAAGCCCTGCATTGGGCCTCACACTGACAGTATAGAGCCTACTTGGAATTCTGTCTCTCCTCTTCTCTCTGTCTCCTCTCTCAAAATAAATAAATAAACCTTAAACATTATAATTTTTTTAAAAAACTAAATAAAATTTAAATTTAGTTCATTTGCACTAGGCATGTCTCACACTAGCTACCATATTGGATAGTATACAATGGAACGTTTCCAGAAAATTCTGTTGGATAGTGCTGTTCTAACGACATCGCTGATAAATTCCCAATTCAAAAGCCTTGAGCACCTAAGCTCACACAGTCATAGTTCCTACTGTGAGCATAGATTATGCTTTGGGATTTGTGCTTTGTATTTTGTCTATTATCAAACTGGTCTCTTATTAGAAGGTGCACATATGCGTGTGATTACATGCTTGCTATAATTCCTAAATAAGTAAAGAGCTTCAGCCACAAGATCTGTTCGCAGATTTTAGAAATGCCACTGAACAAGTAAGAAATGGAGCATCTCTGCTTCCTTGTCTGTCAAACCAGAGCAGAGTATCAGATAGGGCTTCATAGGGATTACATGCATTCATGTTTTTTAAATTTTTCTAATGTTTATTTATTTTTGAGAGAGAGACAGAATACAAACAGGGGAGGGGCAGACACACACACACACACACATAGAATCCAAAGCAGGCTCCTGGCTCTGAGATATCTACACAGAGCCAGATGCGGGGCTTGAACTCACGGACCTTGAGATTATGACCTGAGCCGAAGTTGGATGCTTAACCGACTGAGCCCCCGGGCACCCCTTTGCAATCATGTTTCTAAAGCATGTAATCTGTGCTAAGCTCTCAGTAAATGGTAGCTATACAGAAAAAAAAAAGGGGGGGGTAATAAAAAGGTGAACCATTTCGTTTTATGCTGAAAGAAAAACTAAACTCTAATAAAATGGTATAAGATTACAGCATTCTGAAGATCCCATAGTCACAGCTTATGTATTGTTTCTATCAGTAAAAATAAGGTAAGTGCTAGAGTTCTGCATTTTTTCTTAGCCTGAGAGAATCCACAGCCCAGCTAATTTTGTTTGTACCCTTTAGGCAGCACAAGTAACCGATCCAGCACTCGGAGCCTTCTCAGTGTGAGCAGCGGGATGGAGGGGGACAATGAGGTGAGAGCTGGGGACTCCACCCCCACATGTCTTGTCCTAGGGGTCACTTCATTGCAGGAAATAGAAATCCAAGTGAAAGAAGCTGGACACACATAGGTCACATCTTCTAGGATTCCGTTTATATGAAATATCCAGAATAGGTAGAAGCAGAGACAGGACACAGATTGGTAGATACTGGGGGCTGGGGGGAGAGGGAAATGGGGAGCACAGTGTTTACTTTTGGAGTGATGGAAACGATTTCGGACTAGCTAGAGGCGGTAGTTGTACAATATCATGAACAAACTAAATGCCACTGACTTGTTCACTTAAAAAAATTTTTTTAAGTTTATTTACTTGTTTTGAGAGAGACAGAAACAGCATGAGCAGGGGAGGAACAGAGCGAGGGAGAGGGAGAGAATCCCAAGCAGGCTCCACACCCTCAGCACAGAGCCCGATGCGGGGCTCGAACCCACGGAACTGTGAGATCATGACCTGAGCCGAAACTAGGTCAGACACTTAACTGACTGAGCCACCCAGGTGCCCCAAATTGTTCACTTTAAAATGGTTAATTTAAAAAAATAATAATAAAATAAAATGGTTAATTTTATTTTACATGAATTTCACCTCAATAGAAAGAGGAAGAGAGGAAGGGAGGGAGGGAGGGAGGAAGGAAGGGAGAAATAGAAATTCGCTCTGACTAGTTAAGTCTAAAAGGGCATGTGTGAGAGGGAGCTGGAAAAGTATCAGGGAATCCAGGGGCAGAGATCCCATCCTGGGCTGGGATCAGGAGCAGTGGAAAATGCCGGAGCCAGGCCACCGTGCCATGTGTCCCCAGGGCCACACGCTCTCATCTCTTTTCCCTTGTGTGTGTCTGCTCTTGTGTCTCACTGTACACTGGCCTGTTCTGCTCCTGTGCTTGGATAGTGCCAAACTGTCCCCTGAGAGCCACAGGGCCTCTCAGGAGGGGATGGGCTGCCACCTTAGACTGAAGCCCAATTTGGGTCAGGGTGTCTACCCCCATCCAGTGACCGGGGGTTGGGATGAGCAGGAGGGCTCACACGGGTCACTGCCAACCCAGAAGACTCCCTGAGGTAGGGCCCTTGAGGTGGTCCACCTCTCCAGTGCATAGCTTATATTAATTACCCCACGACTGAGGACTACTCAATGCTCTGCTCTCCCAAAAAGGGACTTCAGTTTAAAAATAAATTTCTCCAGCTCTATCTGGTTAAATAGAGCAAGCTTCTCAAACTTTAAGATGCATATGAATTGCCTTAAGATCCAGGGCACCAGGGTGGCTCAGTCAGTTAAGCATCTGACTGTTGTTCTCAGCTCAGGTCTTGATCTCAAGGTCCTAAGTTCAAGGCCCATGTTGGGCTCCATGCTGGGTGTGAAGCCTACTTAAAAAAGATAATAATGATTACCTAGGATCTTGTTAACATGCAGGTTCTGATCAAGTGGGTCTGAGGAGGAGCTTGAGATTCAGCATGTCTCACAAGCTCTCAGGTGATGCTAATTTGATGGTCCACAGAGGACACTGAGTAACAAGGACCATTAATGATCATTTGGGCCCCATTGTCTCCTCAGTGACTGTAGGAATCAATGGAAAGCTGCCCTGGTGTTGTTGGGTTCATTTTTTTGTTAAGTTTATTTATTTTGAGGGGAGTAGGTGGGGGGAGATAGAAGAAGAGCAAGAATCCCAAGCAGGATCCACATTGTCAGCAGAGCCTGATGCGAGGCTCAATCTCACAATCGTGAGGTCATGACTGAGCTGGAATCAGGAGTCCTCCACTTAACCCACTGAACCACCCAGATGCCCATGGCGTTCATTCTGATTGTGAATAACCTTCTGCCAAAGCCTGAGGCTTTGGGCTAACCTAGTGTCCCACTATGCTGGTTGCTTAAAGAAATCTTCGCCTTTCTTTCTCATCTTTTTTCCTGTAGGATAATGAAGTCCCTGAGGTTACCAGAAGCCGCAGCCCATGCCCCCCACAAGTGGACGGAGCACCCACTGTGCCCCTTGAGAGGCCCCCCAGGGTACCTCCAAGAGCAGCCTCACAGAGGTAACATTGACGCTGACAAGAAATGTTTTCCTCACTCTCTGGGTTCCCGTGGGAGGACAGTAGGATTTGGGGACATCTAGGATGCGCGCAGAGCTAACTGAAATACCTACTTTTGAGGTGTTTTAATGTGCCTTCTTTGTTCATTTGACGCTTTATTTGAGTACAACTACTTTTAGTAGCAGTTACCATGTTTCATCAGTGAAGTACATCAGTAAACATCAACTTTTTGAGTAATTTTTATGTTTGGTTAGAATTCGGCTCCCTCATAATAATTCCCTTGGCTGTTTTGTGGGGACAGTGCCTTTCGGGGGCCAGGAGATAAGAAAGCACTGAGGATGAGAATAAAGGTGGGGGGCAACTTGACGTGGTGGGGAGCATGGCTCTAGTGCCACACTGTCTGGGAACAGTGAACTTGGATGAATTATTTCACTTTCATGTAACTCAATTTCTTTGTCTGTAAAATGGGGGTAATAGTAGAATGTCCTCACAGAGTTGTAAGGGTGGAGTTTTGGTCCATCGTAAGGGCTCAACAGAATGAGTGATTTTTCTCACTCAGGACAAGAATGAGCAGATGGAGATTTGGAGATAGGCATTAGGCAAAGGAGTTTAGAGTGTTTGCTGGGCTCCGAAGTCTGTCTTTGTTTATAATAGTACTCAGGCCTCTGGTAGGAACCTTTTCAGGGTCTCATGGACAGAAAAAGCAGTCCAAGCTCGCTTGCCTGCTCATACAGAAAGGGGCCTTGGGAATGAAAGCCTAGGTTTGTTTTAGTTGTTTATTCTTTGATGTCTAAAATATAATGTGGGAGGAAAATGATTAAAAGGTGGAAGCTTTTTTTTCAACCAGGGTTGGGTTTTTTTTTTATATATCATATTGAAACTTTTAACTCAAATGAATCTCATCAGTGCCATTTGTTGAGAAAGTGCAACAATGAGGCTTTTTTTCTGGTGTTCTGGAAAGAGAAGCTGACTCTGTGCTAGGGATCTTTCCATTTCTCCCTTTGCTGCTTACCACCCTGGCGTGTGCAAGATGCAACATTCACATGCTGACGCTTGTGACATAGACCTCCTGTGATTGCAAATGGTGTCACGTTCACCGGCATGTTTCCTTGGCACAGACTAGAGGTCACATAGGAGGATATTAATCCTAGAAGGACCTGTAGTGATAATCTAGTCCAGTCACCTAAATTGGCATCATGTCCTGTTGCTTCAAAATTATTATACAGCTGGTGACTGGGGAGGGGTGTTTACGGAGTATGATTATAGCAATAAATGCTAAACTGTATTGAGCACTTACTATATTACTAGATATTATGTTAAACACAGTGAATGTATGATCTCTCTTAACTACATCTACAACTCTAAGAATTAGATATTTAGGATTATCCCAATTTGCAGATATAGACACGGTGGCTTGGGCGGATTGAGACTTACCCTGTGTGGCAAACCTGACTTGAGGCCTCCAGGGTCTTAGTCATTTGGTGATACCTGTCCAAGAAAGTCATGGTGTCAGTAGGAGGAGATCCAAGACCTAAGACCTGTAATTCCTGGAGGTTGAAGAGTTTGGGGGGAGTTAACTAATTGTACCAAGATGAAAAGATTGTTCCTGAAAACTATAGCTGCGAGACTCTGTGGGATTCTATTAACGGGAGAGAAAAAGAGAACAGCCAGGGAAACAGGTTCCAGAAATTAAAGGATAGAAATGGAGGCATTTATGGGGCACCTGGGCGCTCAGTCGGTTAAGTGTCCAACTTCGGCTCAGGTCACCATCTCCCGGTTCGTGGGTTTGAGCCCCGCGTCGGGTTCTGTGCTGACAGCTAGCTCAGAGCCTGGAGCCTGCCTCAGATTCTTTGTCTCCCTCTTTCTCTGACCCTCCCCTGCTCACGCTGTCTGTCTGTCTCTCTCTCAGAAATAAATAAAACATTAAAAAAAAAAAAAAAAGAAATTGGGATACATTTAAATGTGGCAACAGAGATAACAGATGAATTCTGGTAGGAGTCTGGAAGCATGCTTGTGATAAAAAATGGGAGCAAAAAGGAAGAAAAGCCTTTTTACTAAAGAAATGGTATTTGCAAGGAAATCTGTAATTGATAGAGCATGGCATTTGGGTGCCTTTTTGGTGTGAAGAAGGATTTGCAAATATGTGATTGTTTTGTAAGTATGCAATTTGCATAATAAAATGAGGAGCTGTTTGAGTGAATAATAAAGCAGGCCAGTCTCCTGAATGGCTTCCCTGCTCAACCCACCGTTAGACAGGAGGGGAGGCCAACCTTGGGGGTCTGCTCTCCACTTCCAGATCTGGGAATGAGCAACTGTTTTTTGGCCCATGTCTCCTGACCCCCCTCTCAAACAGCGCTGGGGGAACAATGCCTGTCACCCCCTCTCCATCCTGGTCCCTTCCTCTGCTCACTCTACATGCTCCCCAGAGCTTGAGCTGCCAGTGAGGACCCCGAGTCTCCACTTCCACCTCGGCCCTCTGTTTCCTACTCTCTGCCGGGGCCCTCGACCCAGAGGCCCCACAGATATCTCAAACATCCCGTGCAGAACTGAATTCATTCCATCTGTCATTCTCTGTCCCAAACTGCCTTCCTCTGGTGAGTTCCTGGCCTGAGATAAGGGCCCGGTTCTCTCACTTCGCGGAGAACCTGACCCAGGTATCTATCATCCTCCAACCCTGCCCCTCTGGCAGCTCCCACAGAGTGTGTCTCCAGACTCTGTCCATTCTGCTGCCCTTTCAGCTCTCAGATCCACCGGCTCTCCATCTGTCAGTGCCTACATTTCATCCTTGCGGACCCACACTCACCTCCCTCCTCTGCGCTGCGCCACATTGCACTTTAGAGCAGAAATTGCTGATGATGTCACTTCCTGGTGTAAAGCCTTCACATTGAGTGCTGTATTTTTTAGCATGCTGTGGCCCTGTCTAGCCTCAAGTCCCAGCCTCTCCTGTACTCACTGATGCACCACTGCTTAAGGATTCCCAGTAGGCTGGGCCATTTGGAACTGTGTCTTTGCTCAATCTGTTCCTGTTGCCTGGAATGCAGCCTCCCTCCTCCCTTCCAATCTCTGCTTAGAAAATTCCTACACATCCTGTAGGGTTTTGGGCTAGTCATCATCCCCTCTTCTACGAAGCCTTCCCTGAAGTTCCTCTGTTTGTATGATGAACCTTCTTATGGCTCCCCAAATACCTCTGTTAGAATTCATTCCATGTTATGACCCCTCTTTACATATGTTTCCTCAAGTGGATGCCCCCGAAAGAATAGGGACTGTTTTTGATTAAAACGTTTTTTCTACTGTCCCCAGGGCTTAGCATAGTAGCTGGAACAGAGTAGGAACTTAATAAATATATATCATGTAGGTGAGTTCATGGATGGATGGAGAGATTGGTACTGTTTGTGTTAGACTACCCATCTCTTAAAAAGTTAGCCATCAGGTCATCTGCCACAGTGTAGGTAGCTCATAGATTAGAGGAAAGAAGCTTCACACCTTTAAGTTCCCAATGTATTTCAAAGTCAGGGAAAGCAAATGGTGAGAAGAACAGGAGCAGATGCATTATGTCTCTGCATGGCTTTTCCCTTGCAGGGCATTTAGTCCGTATAGAGTGGGCAGCTGACAATGTCACATGCCTCACAGGTAAGATCCTGCCAATTGATTAAAACAAAGCAAAATTTAAAAAAACAAAAACAAAATCCCAAATCTTACTGAGCCTTTGCTGCTTTGTTTTTAAACATATTTTGCCATTTACAAGTGATTTGTCAGTCACTGACAGTCTGTGCATTCCCCTTTCAGACGTGGCCAAGGCCCTGTGTAATCAGAACACACTTCCAGAGACCTCCTGCAGTGCCAGAAGTTAATCCTGTAGGTGCAGAGTTGTGAAGAGGTCTGCGGAGTCCCTGGCAGGGGCTGGAGCAGTCAGGGAGTGAGGGTACTTGGGACAGAGGCTATTTACTAATAGAGAAGTTAAAAAATATTTTCAACAATGTTATATTGTACAAAAGCATAATAACAGTCCTACTTTGTTTTTTTAATATTTATTTTTTATTTGAGAGACAGAGAGAGCATGTGCGAGTGAGGGAGGGGCAGAGAGAGAAGGAGAGAATCCCAAGCAGCCTCCACATTATTAACAGAGTCCAACACAGGGCTCGATCTTATAACCATGAGATCACAACCTGAGTTGAAATCAAGAGTTGGATGCTTAACCAGTTGAGCCACCAGGGGCCCCACAGTCCTACTTTAAAAGAACATTAATCAACATCAAGCTTGCTAGGTTCTTGAACAGAACTCAGCAGCAGCAAGACCTTACCTTCAACAGGGAGGAGAAAGCAGCCAGTTCTTAGGTATCTGTGGGCACTCATGTCTCCAATTCGAGCTTCTCAGTGTCCTGGAGAGGCTGTTTCGCCACAGACCACCCCTTGAGCCTGATTTAATATTCTTTACTTCCATGGTTCTGATATGTCTGTAATCACAAATCCATTTCCCTGAGGTGGGACTTCCAATCCTTGGTTGGGATTGTTCATCAGAATGAAATGCAGAGATAGTTTGCTTGCAAGACCCTCCCCAACTTCAGAATGGGGCAGCAGAGAGAGGAAGAAGGTCCAGGAGGAAATCATGACTATCTTTGCAGTGGATGGGAAATTGTAAGACTCATGGGGCATACGTCGGAAATATCTTTATTCATAATATTAAAATTATTAGCTTTACTTCTTCAGTACCTACTCTAAGCCAGAAACAGTGCTACCCACTTACTAATTGTCATTTCCAGGCAACACACAACACTCCAATGTAAGTATCTGTAGGTGCTTCTGTTTGGCAGATGAAAAACACATTTGGAGAAGTTGAACTTGTCCTTCAGATATGTGTATAATTGCCTTTGCTATGTGTTCCCAAAGGTACTGGACTTCCCCTATCCAAACAGTACTGTTTACTGATTTTTCCTGTTGTCTGTTTTATCCATTACATTCTCAGCACTTTGAGGGCAGAATCCATTTCCATTTTACTTGCTGTTATATCCCATACCCAGGAGTATACACATAGTAGATAAATGTTTTTTTGAGATGGAGCGAGATGGATAGGAAGGAAGAGAGGGAGGGCAGGAGGGAGGAAGGAAAATAAGAAGGAAGGAAGGAAGCCAGGAAGCCTCAATGTACTCAGGTAATAAGTAAGGCTGACTGGCCTTCAGACGTTTCCTATAAGCCCATGGTTCATAGGTCAACATGGGGAGATGGAAGGAGACTGTTCATTTGTTTTTTCTGGATAAAGAGACAACCACACAAAACCGTCTATTCCCAGGGGCCATAGCAGGACCTCCTGAGGATGTCTGTGGTGGTTCTTTTCTACTCGCTTCTCCATCTTGTTCCCGTGACGGCCTCTCTTTTTCTCAGCTCCTTTGTTATTTCCTTGACCTACGTAAAACTTGCATTCAAGAGACATTTAGTAAATATTTAATCATTGATTCATTCAGTCTTTGACTGTGCAACTCCAGGATACCACAGTTCAATTACAGCACCTGACAAAGCTCTCTTTCTTGACTTACTGACTTGCTTCCAAGAGAATTAAATATTGGTTTTACAGCACACATGTGGAAATACCATCCACAGTTGGTGAACCTCTCTGTAAATAGACTCACCCAGGTCTATCTGGAATGGCATTTAGGACTGTTTAAAACCCATCCAGAATAACATGGAGGGGGGCTTCTAGGAAAGCAAATGTGGAATTAGGACAATACACTTAGCGATCCCACAAAGGCATAGTTGTAAGAAGCAGACTTCAGAAATTCTTAATTCCTTTCTCAAGGGACCACCTACTACAGTATGTCTCCTGCCTGGCTGCATATTTGAATCATTGGTGTCTTAAAATATAGGCTTTATTATTTAGATATGGCAAGGTCAGCAGATCAGGAGACAACTGCTCTTGAGAAGATAGTTTGTCATACTCATAGATCCCAAGAGGAGGGAGCACATTATGCCATGGGGGCTCAGGGGGCTCACTGGGGAGGAGACCAGGTCTCTGTCAGGAGAAGGACAGTGGAGTAGGAGAACAGTGGAGTGGGCAGTGAAGTGGGCAAGAACTTTTATTGTGGTTTCTGCAGGAGGGTACAAGTAAGATAGGGTTGGCAGAGTTAGGATTGGCTAGTTTGAATAATTTCAGTAGGCTCTGGGGCAAAGGTCCCTAGTTGTTCCTAGTTGTCTGGTGCCTGGTCCTGGAGTGATTAGGGCAGATAGATAGTGGTCCAAAAGTGAGAGCCCATGAAGGAAGTAGTTGGTGGTATAAGCTGGGATTGGTTCGTTTGCATATGAAAGCTCTGCTCATTAGCAAGTTGCTATCTCTAGGAATTAGTTTACCTTGGGAGGGGCATTCCCTCCAGGATCCGCAAGCCTCCAGGTGTCAAAGCATCAGAAAATTAAAGCCGTGGTTAATATAACTCATTGGGGGAGGGACACTATTAAAAAGTTGTGATGCTCGAGGCTTATCCTCTAGAGATTGTGATGGAATGGGTCTAGGAGAGAGCCTGGGAACTGGTATTTTTTAAAGGTTCACTGGTGATTCTACTGTGCAGAGCTAGGGCTGTGATCCCCAGCTGGCACTGTGGATGCTGGCATCCTCCTGAGGTCCATATGGTTTCATTAATTAAGGAACGTTTTCTTTGTGTAGTTTACCAAGTTTGCAACAAACCATGGATACCTGATACCTAGTTAATCACATTCATTTTAAAATAGTTTTATCTTTCATTTCAGGCCTCCAACCAGGGACACCTTCCATCCTCCTCCACCTGTTCCACCCAGAGGCCGCTGATTGCACTTCCTAAAACCTTTCTGCTTCAGGACTTTGAGACTTGCAAGTTCAGCCTGTTAATGATGTCTTCGTGTTGAGTATGATGGCATGACTGTTGACCTTAAGACCTGCTCTCATGGCTGATACTGTGGAAGCCCTGCTGGTTTGGGCTTTCCTTGAAGAGGATATGACTAAGGCCTGAAGAAGTGAAGAACTGAGGCCTTTATTCACCATCACCAAGTATATTGATCCATATCCTTGTTTACCAAAAGGAGAAAGACTTAATGGGACTACTTACCTCTAATTTGGCACGTCAGAAGCCTGAAAAGATTGATCAGAAATGTACTTTATGAGTGATTTTACTAAAATGCACTTATATTAGGCCTTACTTATTTGCTAGTCCAGCGTAACTTCTAGAAGTGGTTATGATTTAAGACTTAAAGTATTCCAGTAAGAAGATATGTCCTGACTTTTAAATGGTTCTTCAACTTTTCTGTAGATACAGGAGGGTGTTTAAATGTTGGAGCTGGTCACACAGAACAAACTGAAAAAGACTTTAGCGAGGGGTTAGTCCTAATTCCTTGTATGTGGAATACAAATCTGAGGTTCCACAGAAGTCTGGAACCATCTCTAGGTAGCCAGTCACTCTCCCTCAAGAAATGCCCGCATGTAGAAATTCAGTCACTGAATGTTGACCTTCCAGAAATGTCCTTCCTCCATATCTCCCGGGCATGGGACTATCAAGTTTGGTTTTTGTTTTTGTTTTTGTTTTTGTTTTTTTTCCAATCTGGGCACTTATACCTCACTATGCTTTCAAAATAGTGATGTTACCAAGGAACATCTATAAAGGGTTGGGAACCAGAAGCTTGGGATACCATGGACCCCATTTATTGTTCTGCAGTCTTTATAGATCTTACAGGTTCTGGTCATAAGGAGAGAGAAGGATCCTTGACTTTTTCTCTGCCAAGGGGTTAGAAGAGAAAGGAGGAGTGTAAAATAGAAAGTTATCTATTTCCTTATAAATGTATTATTACCAGTAGGCTTGGGAAATGTTGCAGAGATTATAGAGCCATTATTATGTCATAATTGTCATATGTCATTAATATGTGATTAATTTTGAGTCATTGGCACAGAAATCTACCTTCAAAGCACAGATCCTTAATTGATACTTAAACACACAGTAAAATTAGTATCAGACACATTTCTTTAAAAAATATCAGAAATCTGGTGATTTTTCGTGAAATGTATTCTCTATCCCACACAGATATATACAAGCCACACTATTAATGATCTATTTAAATACAGTTTTATCGTGTCCTTTTCTAATGATCTGAGGTTCTGTTTCAATTTCATTCATCAGTCCAGGAAACAAGGACTCTTATTGAAGTTAATAGCTTCTAGGTCGTGGGTCTTTTTTCTGACATATAATACACTATTGGCCATGGCCAGTAAGAGAAGATTTGTGCAAATCACCTACCACAATGCCTGGCACATAGTAGCCATTCTGCTGTGGTCTCTTTACTCTTCTTGTCACTTATTTGGGAGAAAGAGGGTAATGCAGGATCAAAGGAGAACAAGAAATTATAATGTTGGTATTGCTGTCCTTTCTCTTATTTATAGATGGTTTCTTAAGCACATTTGGTTTTGATGAAAGCTGTACTTTTTTATATTCAATATCTCTAAGCCCTCTCTTGGGATTGCCGAATTTAGATTTTTATACATTCTTTAATAAGCATTTAGATCAATAACATGGCAAAACTTACTGCCAGCTAATGGTGTTAGCATCTTTGTATGCACATCACTGTGCAATATTGGGATATTTTATTACATTTTGTTCTTCTGTGAAAGTAATGGAAAATATAAAATTGAAAGTGCTGATTAGAAACTTGGGTCTGATAAATGTGACACACTTGAGACATGGGTGGAAATGGTCCAGAGTTCATTGCACATCTGGTCTGCTCCATGTTATCAAAGAATGTCTTTAATGATGATGTGAAATTCTGCATTCTTTAGAAACAGCACTACCCATTATGACATGAATTTATTCAACTTCCACATACTCAACATTTATACACATTTTTAGGAATATGTTATGTAACAAAACCATGAATTTCAATACAGTGAGGATCCAAAACCAGATTGTAACTAGGTACCAAACAGACTGTTAAAAATTTCTCTGTGTGATGCTTTGGGAGGCAACGCATCCCCGTCCTTCCCCAAGATTTTATGAGCTGGTTCAATAGAAAGTGAAGCTATTAGTCAAATTCACTGCCATTGCCTTTCCTTCTAACTGTACAAGGTACATTGCCCTCCAGTTCCTAGGCTAGTATTCTTCCTTCATCTTGTATTAAAACCTGAGAGTAGATAACTCAACAGTATAAGAAGCAAAGCATGAAGACTGAGAGATTATGAACAAGAGGCTGGTGTTGCAAGCAAATCATTTAACTTGACATATTTAATGATGTGAATAAACCTTAATGCTTTGCCATAAGTAGGCAAAGTGATAGTATGTAAATTACTTCGGTGAGTAGTTTTACAAGTCAAGCTGAATACCTATTCTTCCCTCCATTTTTCTGGCTTTGTTGCTAAAAAAGAGAGGTTTTATTTCATCCTGTATCACCTCAATAGTTGGGATTTTTTAGATCCCTGTCCCATATGCACCAGGAAATAAGATGGTTTTCTGTGCTCCTCTGTCAAAGAATGGTGTGTGGCTTTGCAGCTGGTTGGCTGAGGAAGTATTAATACCGACTCATTTGAGTCTGAGAACCAAATGTTTTAAGTGATTGCTTCTTGAAGAGAGAACTTAGAACAATCATAAAGTTTTCCTGTGACTAAAACATTTCAAGCAAGAACAGAAAAGATAGAGGTGCAAAGTGATAAATAGCAATAGAAGGACTGCCCCAACCCAGAAGTAAGTACTGGGAAGAGCAACATTACAAAGTAGAAAGAAGGAATACAATTTCAAAGAAAAGGTGATCTGAAACTGGCCCTTGTACACAGAAGGCAAGGAGAGTAAAGAAAGAGGCAGCCCACTCCAGATTGATAGGGTAGCAGTTTTAATAAGCAAGGAAATTTGCATACAAGGTTTGTGTTGAGCGGTCATAAGGCAAGTAGATCTTCCGCATCTGCCCACCAGAATCTTAAAAGTTCACATAGAGAGGCCTTAACTGGGTACCGTCACATATACTGTCCAGATGATCTCAACAACATCTTACTCACTCAAGGCTATGTCCTTAGAATAGCTCCCACTTTGGGAATGGTGGGCAGAGTATATATTCCAAAGACAGGGAAGGGGGTGAGGCTCTCTGATTGCCAGGGTCCAGCTCAAGGACCAATTGGTGGTCAGATCCTTTCAATTACCTTCTCTAGCAGTAGCTGAGGTTGGAAATCAGAAGATATATTATTTATAGAGCAAGACTTTTGAAGATCATGTTAATCAAGAATGAGAATAAAAGATGGAAATTGTGGGTTTCTGGATTATTTACTAGTCATAAGCCCTTTCACCAACTGAGTCTTATTAGGACTACCACAAAAAAGGCCATATAGCCACGGGGGGGGGGGGGTGTTTCCTTTCACTAGCATGTTTTCTCCCATTCCCTTTGGTGTCAGGGAATGAGGTCATTAATCAAGATGAAGAACCTGATGAAATAAGATACATCAATGTTTTTCACTCCGCAGTCTGCCAGAACAGCTCTGATTTTGATGATGCCCCTGAATTCTATTTTTTTAGCCTTGAGGTCCTCATTTTCCAAAGATATTTGAAGCTACAGTCCTTTCCCCTTAGCCTATTAATTAACTCTTATTACTTCTTCCTATACCTATCATCAGACTTCTATCACCTAAAGCCATTTATCATCATCATTTCCTAGTACCTCTTGGAATTCCTGGCACATAGTAGACGCTTGATAAATGGTTGTTGAATTAATGACCCTACATGCTCTTCCCTCCATTAAACTTTCCCAAATACTCCACCAAAATAGGGTTTCCTCTTTTCTACTTGCCCATTGTTCCTATTGCCTCTTGAACATTTGCACAGTTGGTCACATTTTGTGCAGTTCTCTTTTTGTACTCTGTTCTCTGTTGTGTGTGTAATTTTCTGGTTTTAAGTCTACACTCTCTAAATGAATGCTTTTACTTTTTTTGTGTGTCCTCCCCACCCGGAAGCAACTGCCAACCCAGTGCTCCCCACAGCACCTAGCAAATGCTTGCTGCCTCAAATCTGTGTAGGCTGGTGATGGATGTTTAAGCAAGAAACTACTCATCCATCTTAATTCAACACTTAGACTGCTTGTTCTTCAATTGCACATCATCACTTGATTCAAAAGCAGTGATTATTCATTCACGGAGCATTTACTGAGCTTTCACTATGAGCAAGTCACTGCGCTAGGTGCTGTAGGGGATATACAAAGATGTATAAGACGTCTCCTCCAATTTCTATAGCAATTACTGGTGTAGGATTCATTCAGCAATTAATCATGTACTACCTTGTGATGTCTCTTAGACTGGCCAGAAAATATTGTGTAAATCCTCTATGCTATTTGGCTTTTCACTTATTAATGCCTTCATCCGTTCATTCAGCAAATAGTTTGAATGTATATAATGTGACAAACACTATTCCAGCAGCTGGGACAGATACAGAGATGAAAAAATGATAGTCCTTGCCATCAGAAAAGGTCAGAATGTATTACAGAAGAGGAGATGAAAGATGTTAACTATGACATAACATGCCAAATGCTTTTGGAGTCCCCAAGAAGCGGTGTTCAATTTCCCTAGGGTGTCATGAAAGGGTTCACTGAAGAGGTGATAATTCACTTAGCCTGGAAGGAGAATATCTAATGGTTGTCCACTTATTTGCATTCTAGGCAAAGGTGCAAATATAAAAAACATGGTATATTTGAGCAATATAGAAACGAAGCCAGAGCACAGTGATTGGTAGGAGGTCAAGTCGGTATCTGATAACCTGGAGTCTGGTTGCGTAGCTGCGTGTTGACAGGACTCTCCTTTAGCAAGAGTCTTTCCCCCGATTACATATGTAGCACATGGCCATTGTAAAAAACCATCCAAATATTTACAGGCATGAACAAAGAAGAAACTTAATCTGGTATTAATGGTTTGAGTCACTATCTTTCAGATTGTTTTCTGCAGGTAGACATACAGTACCGTTTAAAATGGGATTATATTCTATTTTGTCAGCCTTTTTTAAAAAATTTATTTATTTATTTATTTTTACAAATAGTTTATTGTCAAATTAGTTTCCACATAACACCCAGTGCTCATCCCCACAAGTGCCCTCCTCCATGCCCATCCCTCCCTCCCCCCCACATCCATCAGTCCTCAGTTTTTGTCAGCATTCAAGAGTCTCTCATGGTTTGCCTCTCTCCCTTTCCCCCACCATTTCCTCCCTTCTTCTCCCCCTTTTTCCTCCGTCAAGTTCCTCCTAATCCTCCTATACGTGCATACATATGTTATTTGTCCTTCTCTGCCTGACTTATTTCGCTCAGCATAACACCCTCAAGGTCCATCCATGTTGCTACACATGGCCAGATTTCATGCTTTCTCATTGCCATGTAGTATTCCACGGTATAGATAAACCCCATCTTCTTGATCCATTCGTCTGTTGATGGACACTTAGGCTCTTCCCATTGTTTGAGTGTTTGAGTATTGTTGAGAGTGCTGCTGTGAACATTGGGGTACATGTGCTTCTATGCATCAGCACTCCTTTATCCCTTGGGTAAATTCCTAGCAGTGCTATTGCTGGGTCCTAGGGGAGTTCTATTGTTAGTTTCCTGAGGAACCTCCACACTGTTTTCCAGAGGGGCTGCACCAGTTTACATTCCCACCAACAGTGTAGGAGGGTGCCCGTTTCTCCACATCCTCGCCAGCATCTAGAGTTCTCTGATTTGCTCATTTTAGCCACTCTGACTGGCGTGAGGTGGTATCTCAGTGTGGTTTTGATTTGTATTTCCCTGATGAGGAGGGATGCTGAGCATCGTTCTTTTTTTTTTTTTAATTTAAAAGTACCTCTTAATATCCTTGCATGCCAGTACAAACAGTCTATTTCAGTTCTAGAAATGGTTGTACAGATGAAAGTCAACTAGTAGTAAGAGAGACTGATTCTGGAACAAAACTGCTTGTGGCTGCTCTTTCAGCAAGCCAGTTAACCTCTCTGGGCTTCAGTTATCATGCCTGTAAAATGAACACACCCAGAGTGCCTTTTGCATAAGGTTTTGGTGAGGATTAAAAGAGTCAACATGTGTAAAGCGCTCAGAATAGTGCCTGGCCGTTGAAAATTTTAGCTCTGAGTCCATGATTTACTTGACAATATTTAAGGAGTGTTTTAAACAAGAGTGATAGAATCAGGGTTCTTTTTAGAAAGATCACTCTGGCACGTGTTGGGGAGGATGAACAGGGAGGGAAGATTGGTGGCAGGGATCCTGTCAGGCTGTTGCACTATGGAGTGAGACGGCGATTGGCTGTTATTGGCAGAAGAAAGAGGAAAAAAAGTTTTGAGACATTTCTAAGAGGCCAAGTGCTACCACTTGTTGGCTGCTGATGGCTGAAAGATAGACACCATCCGACTAAAGTTCCAGGGTTTTGGCTCAGAGATGGTGGAGATGGTGGAGCCATATTCCCAGGACGAACAATTTTTTAGTTCCCACTGTACAGGTCTGGCACTGTTCTAGGCACAGAAACTATGGCAGCGCACAGGTTCCCTGCTTAGGAAAGGAGCTTAGATTCCAGGAGGTGTTTATGTCTGTGGACGGGAGACCAACAACATAAGTGGACAGAAAAATGAACAAGAATCTCAACAAGATCGAAATAGCAGGGGCCAGATGAATAAGAAGTGACTCTAAAACACTTATCCACCCCTGTCCAACAATCCCCCGGGATGAGGATGAGAGAAGCGCGTGAGTCATTCACGGCGGCGGACGGAAGCCTGCAAGGGGGATCTTAACTGATTCCCCCATGGTCCACGGGCTGCAGGTCACACGCCATTTCACTGCCGAAGAAAATGAGGCCAGGAAGACTTAAATCGTTTTGGCCAAGGTCACACAACTCCCAGCGCCGGGACGCGCGGGACGCCGCCCGGAGCGGCCCGAGGCGCGCGTCAAGCACCCGGGAGGGCGCCAGGCCGAGGCCGCGAGTGCGCGCCGCCGCTGCCGAGGCCCAACGGAGGCCGGCCCGGAGGTCCGAGCGGGCCGGGCGACCCCGCGGCGCGCGAGGCGACCGGAGTTAGGGCCCTCGGCGGCCGCGGCTCGCGCTTCCCGGGTGGGGCTCCCGGCGGCGGTTGCGGCCCCGCGACGCGAGCACTTCCGGCGTGTGCCGGGGTGGCCGGATGACGTGGCTGAGTCAGAGGAAGAGGCTGAGAGGCGCCGGGGGGCGGGGGAGGCTCGGGAGCGGGCGGTGACGGCGGCGGCGCGGAGGAGCCAGCGGCTGGGCCCGGGCCCCGTGCGTCTGTCCGCGCCCCGTGGATGCGAATCGGCCGCGGCGGAGGCGGCGGAGGCGGCGGCGGCGGAGGAGGAGGAGGAGTCGGTGGGCCGGCGCCGGGCCGGTGGGAGCGCGGAGGATGAGGCCGCTGCCGGGCGCTCCCGGCGTGGCGGCGGCCGCCGCGCTGTTGCTGCTGCTGCTGCTGCCCCGGGCCCGGGCGGACGAGCACGAGCACACGGTGAGAGGGGGCCCGCGGCCGGCGCTGTCGCGCTCGGCCCGCCGCCCCGTCCGGCTCGGCGCGGCCTGGAGGGCTGCGCGGCCCGGCGGAGCCCCGCGGCCGCCGAGGGCGCCTTCCGGTTGGGCCTGGCGGAGCAGGAACCCCGGGAGCTGGGAGGAGGCGTTTGTGTGAGCTTCCCGGGCAGGACTCCGCTCCCGAGTGCCTGGGCCTCCTTCCCCTGCCCACACCTAAATGGCGCCGGGCTCCGGGGTCTGGGGGCCCGGGAGGGAGCCCGGTGAGGGTCGGCGCTCACTTCCCCAGCGAGGGGCCGCGGGCCGCGGGGCTGGTGCCCCCGGGGAAGGGAGCTGCGCTCTGGCTGCTGGGGTCTACGACACAGCGGAAGATGGATGCATCACGATTACCCGTCATACACTAACCAGGAAATATCCACCACTTTTATGGTCCTCACCAGCCTTTATTTTCTCTCCTGCCCAAACCGGATTAAAACCCTGGCGTGGGGACAGCATTGATAAACTTGGGGTTGAAGAGCGGGTTACACGTGTACACGCGTGCACTTAGTCTGCACGCACTCGGTTCTGGGCCTTTCTTGTAACTTTGTGCTCACCCTTCTCGTCCCTGGAGGAGGCTCCCATCCCAGTGGTCTCCAGGCAGCTTCTGGCCGTACGGGTCTAGAGTTTCCCATTCTTCCCGGGCATCGTCCCGTTTGCATTGGCCTTATAATTGGTTGGCTGTTTATTTAACTGGCTTTTTCACATCAAAGCGTGAATGTTAACGATTCTAAAAATGACTTTCACTTAGGGCTGTACCTCGGTGGTTTTCAGATTGGTTGCTGTGAGCCAGGCAGGGAAGTCTTGTAAATAGAAATTTGCTTAGCGAGTAATTTTTCTTTTTTATATTCTGTAACTCCGTAATGACGTGATTTTGCGTGAGAGGTTGTGTATGTACTAAATCTGAAAGATTTGGGGGAGTCTCTTGTCATTTCTGATAAGCGAGGAAGTGAATATTCAGTGGACCGTCCTTTAGATTTTATTTGTAATTAACCACACTTCTTTCTCTAGTTCGTGGGGTGGCTGAGCTTTTAATTTAGCTAATGAAAGCTCTAAGCTTTTGGCTAGTTTACCTTCAGTCACTGCCGGAAACGTCCTTTTTTTTTTTTAAGAGACAAATCTGAAAGCATTGACATGTTTTTGTGCTATATATTTGTGACTTCACCTTAAGACAATTTTGTTCACAGTTTAAACATTTAAATTAAAAAACTTTCCAGTCATTTTCTCTGTCAGGTAACATACTGAAGCGTAAGAACTGTTCATTTGCAGTGGTATCCTTTTAGTCAATTGTGTTGTCACTAATATTTTTCCAATTTTTGAACACATAAGGAAAGTTACCAAATAAAAACTCAGAAGTCTCTCTCAACTGTAGCTCCACAGTGCAAGATTTGTATCCTCCTTTTTGATCTTATGTTTTATATAAACTGCTATAAATAGGGAAAACTATTAATTAAAATTTCACAAACTGGAACTATATAAAAAGGCCTGAGTTTGATTTACAGATTTAAAATGTAAATACAAGTTTCATTGAAATTGTGTTTCTGGGAACATTTCAGTTTTTTATACCAGTAATTGAATATAAAATATATGAGAAAAGGTTTTTGAGAGGACATCGTGTGTATGAGGTAATTGCTGGACAAAAAAATTTAGAATCCACTTCATTTTATTCATGTCTACACTGAATTAATACACATTATTTAAAAAGCAAAATGATGATAGGAAAACTAACATCTAGCTATAAGTGTAGAATTTAAATAACTGTCTTTTTTTTTGGCTGTTAGCCAGAATTTTTACTTTTCCTAAGTTTCTTGAAAATATTTCTTGAAAACTGGGCATTCACCTTAATCAGAAAAAAATACTGAAAAAGTTAGAGTCAAGTGAATTTTTTGTCCCATCGAGAAGGCAGAAGTAGGTAGTGAAGAGAAAATGATATTGGAAGAGGAGAAAAATTGCCAAGGGAAGGTTGCCGAGTAGGTGTGTAATAAAGACTTGAGGGATTGAATTATTAATTAAAGAGTAATTTCCAGAAATTAAAGTTTGCCCTTTAGGTTAACTTTCTGGGATGACAGTTTTCAGGTAGGAAAAATAACTAATAGGACTTTTGTGGCAACAATGTGTGAGGCACTATTTTAAGTATGTTATGTATATTAACTCTTATTTTAAATATATGTTAATAATCTTGTGAGGATAATATTATACCCTTTTTATAGATGAGTAAACCAGCACCAGAGAGTTTAAGTTACTTGTCTCAGACCACACAGCCAGTGGGTATAGAGGTAGGATTTGAGCTCAGGCAGTCTAAATTGTCTTCTACACTATCACGGGATGTGTGTTCTGCAGCCTTTTATCCTAAAACTAGGACAGACACTTGGTATTGAGTAGTTATCTGTATTGATAGTAGTTTTAACTGCTTAAAGAAATTTTTGTGTAAGTCTGACTCCATAGTGAGTTGTTACTGAGAAAATGTTTGGTTAGCATTAGAGAGAGATAGGGTCCACTTAATGGACATTTGACCTGTGCAGTCACATAATATTTGCAAGCATGTGGGTACTGTGCTTGCTTTTATGTTCTGCTGTTACTATCCAAAAATTTTTTCTTTTCTTTTCTTTTTTAAATGTTTTATTTATTTTTGAGAGAAAGAGACAGAGACAGGGTGAGCAGGAAGAGTCAGAGAGAGAGGGAGACACATAATCTGAAACAAGCTCCAGACTCTGAGCTAGCTGTCAGCACAGAGCCCATCGTGGGGCTCGAACCCACGAACTGTGAGATCATGACCTGAACCGAAGTCAGATGCTTAACCGACTGAGCCACCAAGGCGCCCCACTATCCAGAAATTTCTAAAAAATATTTGGGGCACCTGGGTGCCTGGGTTGGTTGAGCATTCTCGACTCTTGATTTTGGCTCAGATCATGAGCTCACAGTCCGTGGGATTGAGCCCCATGTCTGGCTCTGCACTGAGAACTTGGAGCCTGTTTGGGATTCTCTCTCTCCCTCTCTCTGCTCTTCCCCTGCTCAGGCATGTTCTTGCTCTCAAAATAAATGAATAAATATTTTTTAAAAATGAAAAAAAAACTCTAAATGTTTATTTTTATTAAAGTTTATTTTTTATTTTTGAGAGAGAAAGAGAGCACGCACGTGCGCCCACATGAGTGGAAGAGGGAATCTGAAGCAGGCTTCAGGTTCTGAGCTGTCAGCACAGAGCCCAACATGGGGCCCAAACTCACGAACTGTGAGATCATGACCTCAGCTGAAGTCAGACGCTCAACCAACTGAGCCATCCAGGTGCCCCTATTTATTTTTAATAGAGACAGAGAAAGCGCCAACGCACACGCACACGCACGCACACATGCATGCATGCACACATGGACGGGAGAGGCGGAGAGAGAGGGAGAGAGAATCCCAAGCAAGCTCTTCCCTGTCAGCCCAGAGCCTGATGTGGGGCTTAAACTCAAAAACCGTGAGATCATGACCTGACCTGAAATCAAGAGTTGGATGTTTACCTGACGGAGCTACCCAGGTGCCCCGCTATCTAGAAGTTTTTGATAATTTTTTAAAAAGTAATCTCTGCATCCAGCATAGGGCTCAAACTCACAACCTCAGATCAAGAGTCACATGTTTTTACCAGCTGAGCCAGCCAGGCACCCCTTAATAAGTTTTGAACAAGGAGACCTGCATTTTTATTTTGTACTGAGCTCCACTAGTTATACAGCTGGTCTTAGGAAGGGATAACTAGTTTATATAGTTTCACAAAGTCCCCTTATTTCTCTTATTTTACCTACTCAGTTAGGATTCACCTATTTGTAATGTTATTTTTTAAGTGCTTATTTATGCAGAGCTCTTTTAATATTCTCATAAGAATAATGAGAAGGAAATGCACTTGTTCACTTCTAGAGTATATACACATCTAGAATATATACTTTCAATTTTCTAAAGTCAAATCGTATATGCAGGGCATAGTGTTTGGAATAAAAAATTGAAGAACACTTTCATGAAAGGCACTTAATATGTGATTGAAAGATTAAGGACTTTTCAGAGTGAGTGAAAGATGTATAAGGTGTAGTTTATTCTTACTTGGTTTTCTGAAACTCAGAGGACTAGGAAAGGTCTATAGTTAGAGTACCATGTCTCCCAAGATTCCAGACGACTCCGTTAAAAAGATTTCAGAGTGTCAACCAGAATTTTAGAACTGGAAAGACTTGAGACCATTTAATGCCACACACTCATTTTCCTAAGGCCTGAGCAGGCCTTAGTGACTCTCTAGTCCTTGCTTTTTCTACCTATCTTGTAAGTAAAATTTCCACAGTAATACTATGTAAGGATGTCAGCACCAAAAACTAATAATCAAGGGCACAAGAATCTTAATGCATTTTATGGTTTATACTATAGCCTTGAAGTTTTATGGGTTCTGTTTCCTCAAGATCACAAAGTCAGGTGTATGTTTGTTTGTTGTGTTCATACCCAGGCTCTGTGCTTGGCACAGTGCTATTTAATCAGTGCTTGTTGAGTGACTTGAGTGATTAGGGAGCTGATAGAGACAGGAATATGCAGTGTTGGAAGCATGAAACCCTATTGCTTAAAGCACAGTGAACGAATCCAGACGATTGTTGGTTTAGAATGCAGTCTTTGGGATGCCTGTTTTGATTTACGGGCTCTAACTAAGCTAAAATCCCATTTCTTTGTGGCCCATTGACCTCTGGTAGGTGATATTAGAGGGGCCTGATCTGTGCCTAAGGTAGCCTACACTCAGCCTCTGCTATAAACACTTAGTACAACATGGAGTGATTTCAGAAATTGTTTGTTTCCTTTGGCAAATAGCGGCCTCTCTTCTTTGTCTCTGTTGGGAGTATGGGAACTCCTAAAACTTTTGAAGATTTATGAAGAGAATAAACTCTTTACTACAGGTGAATTAGTGAGTGCTTTAATATAGGTCTAGTTTTAGGAAATGCCATGATT